CAACGTGAACACTCGCTAAAATTTAGTTTATTTCCATGTACAGATTATTTATTAAATTGGTTACAGTAATCTCATGAAATATTTTCTTATAATGTAAAATATAATTACACAATCATTTTAATTTCAGTCGTAGATTGTGTCTTTACAGAGACGTATCTATAAGTGGATGGGAGAGCAACTGAAAGGTGCTAAAGTTGAATGTTGTAACTGTAACATTGTAATTCGAATCATTGATATTATATTTTTAAGGGAAAATATTATTGTATACACAATATATATTATGAATTTGAAATAGGGCACTGATAGCCAATTTAAAAATCTATGTTTTGCATCACAAGAAGAATTTTAAATAAAATATATATCTTAGGGAAAAATCGACAATGTAGCTAGAGCGCAAAATCTAAATTTGCCGCAGAGTGCTTAATTCGCTAGCTACGCCATTGGGTCGTCATCCGTCATCCACAATTCACAAGTGCTCAATGTGTATTGTTCTATAGAAATGTAAAATTACCCGGAATGGATTAGTTGATATCAATATTGGTAAATCAAACTGACTAAAATAATACGAGTAGTACATGTACAAATTAATTGTGATGAATTCCGATTTTTTATTTTTTTTTTTTTTTTTAAACCAAGTATTTTTGGAGGAATAACGCTTTTTACGTCATCATTTCAATCGACGACGAAAAATCGTGTGCACGTTTACATGCGGCGTGTGGTGTACGTGGCAATTTTCCAGCTGTAATAAGTATGCGCGCGCTCGTACATATTTAAGGAAAACGTTGTTATCCCTTTTCGACCTTTTCGTTTTTCACTAATATCCCCGACCAGTAGCCAAAAGGCTCTTCTCGTCGACATCCCCTCGCCCGGACGCGCTTGTAATTCCAAGTGTTATGCCGAGAACGCTCCCACGGTTTAGCTGTACAAAAACGGGAGGATGAAGGGGTGATGGAGGGGAAAGAAAAGAAAAGAACCGAGGAAAAAAAACCCCATCGCGGAGAGAGACGGCCTTTGCCGGTACGATAAAATTTATTCGTGCAAGGACCGGCACACCTCGCCCGTATCCCAGATTCCTGTGGCAACTATACGCTGCGCCGCGCCACCGCCGTCGCCGCCGCCGTTTTTTCTGGACCCCCGTGTAGCAGGAGGATTCGCAATTATTTCGGCGACCGTTTTATTCCGACGGTTGCGTTTTTAATAGGATTTAAGACGTTTTTTTTTTTTTTTCACCGCGCGTACCTCGCTCCCGTGACCGACAATGAGTTTCCGCCTTCCCACGGGAACACCACCCACCCCCATCGCCACTATACAGCCACTAATGTTCCCGCCACCGCCGTCGCCGACCCGTGTTGGTTCTAAATTTCACGCGTCGTCGTCGTCGTACGGGCTCGTCGACATAATAAATAATAGCGGCAATTTTTTTTATGTACTTATACGAACGCTCGTGCACAAACACACACACACACACACACACACACACACACAAACAAAATATAATATGTAAACGGTATATTTTACGTATAACTCACAATGCCTTCACCGATCTCTCCGCTCCGTTCCCCGGGTTTTCTCGGCTCCGGTTTATACACAATTAACGAAACCCCGTTCTAGTGCCGAAGCAATTAGTCAGGTAACCCTTATTTTCGTTTTGCACGCTCTGACAAAACAAATAACGCCGCGATAAACCCCGGACGTGTGCGCCTCGGCTGTATTATTTTTACGAAACGACTCGCAAAATTTAAAACATCCTCTTGCCCCCAGCCCGAGTATACTCGGGCTCGTAATACTCGATGGCATGGCCGAATCGCACTTTTTACCTATAAATTAAAACGATCAAACTGCACTTGGATCAAAAAGAGGTAGGTACAATGGTCGAAATGCACTTAGACTAAAAAAAAAATGATTTTAAAAATAAATTTAAATGAACGGATTAATATTAAATAATAAAATGTTATTATAAAGGGTATTTTCCATTCGGACCATAGCGATATTGTCTCCCCTCCTAAGGAAACTAATAGGGGGTAATGAACCCCTCCTCCAGATCCGAAAAATAAAATAAAATCAGATAATTGTTCCAGCAGCATAATTAAGTAATTAGTATGGAAATTATACATATTTTAGTGGTCACGTTGTAGTATTAGGTTAAATATTAGGTACGATATAGGCAAGGCGCTTTTATGATAAACATTTAATCACCCGTAAAAACTGATTATTGATAAATTACGTAGCTAGTTATGATTGGGTTACAATTGGAATTTACATATATATGTAATATTGACCAAAAAAATGACACTATGAAACTATGTCACTATTTTAAGAATAGGGTATCGATATTCTTGTCGAATATGCATTGTGTATTCCAAATATCCGAGTACACTTATAGCAGGCTTAAAAATGGCTCATCCGGTGATTTTCGAATATTGCATACTGCAGTTTTTATGACAGATGATAGTGTGGCGAAAAAAAATGCTTTGAAATAATGTTTTCCGAATTCAACTTCACTTTAATGCACATTTCGTATTCTCCGAGCAGTATGGCGGTGGCTATGGAGTAGTAAAAATAACATTAATCCAAATCGTAAACATTTGATGAATTTGTTTCGGCATATTTTGTATTCTCCAAACGAAATCAATTGTGTTTCAGTGAATGAAAAATTAATTAAAGACGACATTTTACAACAGTATAGAAATTTCCAAGAATATTTTAGGAAATTATGGATAAGGAATCGAGAACGGTATTTGTGTTTTCGTTCAACACTATTAACCAGAAGGAATAATACGAATAATGTAGTTGAAACTTCAATAAGAATTTTCAAAGTGGTAGTTTTAGAAAGATGCAAATCTTTTAATATGTGTGCTCTAGTCGACATTATTTGTACAACGTTTGAAAGGTATCATAAAACTCGTCTGACCGACTTTGCGAACAAACGTGTAACAAAATCTGCGTTATGTTACTTAAAATTTCTTTGTATAGCTAAAAATTTTAAATGTCAATAAAATTAATAATAATTAGTTTAATGTTCCAATCATCTACTGACAATGAAATGTCGTACAGTGTGTCTGCAGATATTATTAATACGTGCGAATGTATTGACGGTCATGGTGGGACTTTTTGTAAACACCTTTGCACGGTCCACGAACAGTTTTCTAATATTTCTACGGCGCCAAATTTATTATCTTACCGTAGGAGTAATTTAGGTTTCGTCGCATTAGGAAATCACACGGAGAAGTAATTTATTTGATGACACGTGCCAAGAAAATATAAAAGATATAGAAGGTAAAATTGAAAATCACGTTGGCGAAAACAACGTGGGCTACGGATCACATTCATCGACATCTGATTTTCAACCAAGTTGTTCATGGACGGACGTCTAATCAAACGGAGAAACAAACACGGGGTTCATTTATGATTCCGAAGTATCGGGATTGAAAACTAATGTCGGCCCTATCACTCAACTATTTATGTACAAACGCGTGTCTTTGTGCCACAAATTGAATAAAGAAAACCGATATCCAATTGGAAAAGGTCAATACTCGGTTATCATCAGTGTTTGGTTCAACGCGTGTGATTAATTGTTGATTACAATTACAATACGGTACAATATCTACGCGCGTTTCTGAAACCTCGACACGTTACGAGCCCCGTGTTGATTCGACGCGGAGGTTTTGTGAAATTGACTGTTTCAACCGTGTCCGTGCCGCCCGAGGGACTGCGGCGGCAAAACGCAAGGCGCGCGGTCTCGTGCAGGATCAGCCGGGCGTTGTTGTGCCCCGTCCCCGGATAGTGTCGTTGTCGCAGGCGCTCCGGGGGGAAAACCGCGGCGTGCCGTCGGCGAACGACGGGCGTCTCGCGCGACGTTCCGGCGGGCCGCGTACGGTCTGCACCGCGTACACGGCGTCACGCGCGGCGGCCGCCGCGGTGCGCGCAATCGCCCCGGAATCCGAAACGCACCGCGGGAATCGTCCGTCGCCGTATTTCGCGTGCGGCCGGTGCGCGCGCCCGTTATGTGTTTGCGTCACTGCGCGTATCGCGTCAACCTTTTCTCCTACGGCCGTGGTAATGTCGTCGGTCGACTGAACGATTTCCCGACGTGAACGGCGTCGTGTCGCGTGTGTTGCACACGCACGACACATCACGAACGCGGCGGCGGTGTTCGCGCGTACAATAATAACCCGCGCCCCCCTCCCCCCAACGCGGCTTCGACGGGACGGACGTGTACGCCAACGCGCGCGAAACCAATTTGTCAATTTTCCCCCCCCACCCCCCCCCGGGGGGGGCACCGCGCGATAACAATAATAACAACGACGACGACGATAGTAATGGTTTCAATTACGGCAATGACGTCGGAGCGTTAACGGCGGACGTCGTCGCCTGCCGCGGCGTTGAATCCGACGCGAGCGGTTTTTTTCGTAACGCCGTGCGACGACAACGACGGGGCGCGGGGATTCGCCTGTCCGTCACGCGTCGCGGTTTCGGCGCGTCAGCTAGCGGATCTCGCGCGACCGGACCGGACAGTCCGAACCCGCGGGAAGGGATGATGGTGAGGGGGGTGTGGAGGGGCGGCGGCCGGCGTGACAATCGCAGTATTGTTTTTCGGCGAGTCCCCGGCGTCCAGTGTACGGGTACCGTTATAATACACGCACATCCGCGGAAATACGTGGAAAACCGTAACAATGTTTCACCGTCGGACCAATCGATTTCGCCCGGTAATCGACCGGGCGGACGAAAAAAAAAAAATGCGCGCGAATATTTTATAGCAGACCCGTGGCCAGACCGAATCATCAGGTGGGGCAAATCGAATTTTCGGGGGAGCATTAGACAGAGAAAAAAAAACAAAATATCAATGCCCACTATTTTCAATTCATTTAGTCCGCTATATTAAACTTTCAATATTTTTCCGGGGCTTGCAATGAGAATTCTGGTTTTAAAATACAAACTACACAATATTTTTAATTAAAATAATGAAAATTACTTAATAATAACATTTTTTTTTTTTTAAATTATTGCAGCTGCAGTTTCCTACGTTTTTGCTTGTTGAAATCCATTAATAATGCGTCCAAATTTAATTTTTCGGTCCGTTCTGACTCAAACGCCAATGAAGCCAAGTTGGAAAACCGGTCATGTTTTATTGATTGTCTTTGAGGATTTTCGAGTCGAGTTAAGCAGGAAAATGTCGATTCACAAACCGCTGAGCCAGATCCAAATACTTCAACGGCTGCTATCATTTCAAATGCAACTTTGAATGCTTTACGTTGTAGATAAAGCTCCAACAAAATATCCTTATTAGATATATTATTTTCTTTTAAATTGTCTTTTACACAAATTGTTTCTTCTTTTGAAAGAATGTTAATATTAAGATCTTCAAATATTTTAAAACCATCGTGATTCAAATCTTATATATTAGAAATAGCTTCAATAAGTTCATTATTTTTTTTTTGTTTAAACTAATTTCCATTTCAGGTTTTATTATGTCAATAACCTGATAAAAGGTACGTAATAACGAAATGTTAATATCGTTTTCGATATATGTACGAGTATAAGTACCAAATAATTCACCAAAAATATAATCGTTGAAGTTTATAGGAGTCTTTTCCTTACGTTTTGGAGATTCAGTTTTGTCTTTGATTAATAAACTTTCCCAATCTTTTAAAACTTCTTTGAACACAACTTCGTTTCGTGATTGTTTTGAACTATTAATCACATAATGAATAATCGGAATTGCTGCTACTTCTACTACTATTGCTTCTACTGCCAATCAAATTATCAAGCAATAATATTGCATAGTACACATTGTACATTTAATAAATTTGAGAGGGAAACGATCAGGTGCAGGGGAGACAATCCCTCCTGTTGCCCCCCCTCCCCCTTGACCAATGTAATACGTATAATAATACTGCAGGCGGACGAAAACGTTTCGGACGGACGCGTCGGTTCGTTATAAAATACCCGTACAAAGTACTACGCAGTTTTCCGAGATTTCCGATTTCTTTAGGGGGTAATAATAATAATATAATATAGCGTGATAATAACAAAACACCCACGATATTTTCAACTTCGCAGTCACGAGCGAATAACCTATTCAAATATTCTCTGCAATGCTTTCATCAGTGGTGCCCAAACCATATACTTCGAGTTGCTACACACACATGAGCGTCCATTGGGGGGGAGGGCAATGAGGGGACATGTCTCCTCCTTGGCTTTTCCGGGTCTGTTATACATTTATACATAAAATATTATAATTTATGTTAAAATACATCGAATAAATGAAAAAATGATAATCATATTATATATTATATGGTAGGATTATTTTCTCTTGTGGTTTCCCATTGGTTGTTGACGACATGATTGTAATATCAAAATAGCATTAGGTAGGATTATTGAAAAAATACAGTGTCCCTCTTCCCCCCCCCTCCATTTTCGAAGATGGACGCCTTTGTACGCACATCATATTTTATTGGGTGTTCCCGGTAATTGGGATTTGGGATAGTCGGGTAGAATGGGTATAAACATTCCCAGAGTCATATAAATTTTAGGGTCGAAAAATTATAATATATTTATGCGGGTAAAAGTTTCCGAGGCGAGTGGTGGTTTTACATTTAAAATTCTGCTACACTACAAAAATACAGTTTGGGCGACACCGATTTCCATTAAGAAATTATTACCTTGTACGCGATTGTATCATTTAATACCTACGGAAAACGTGTCGTACACAATCGAGTATGCTGAATGGATGTGCCACGATTAATTCGAATTGAAATCGTATAATTCATTCAATAGATGTGCATCTGAAAACATTCTGAACCATAAACGGGCCGCGATTCGCACCCGTTTTATCGCAGCCTGTTTACTTATTGAAAATATTTACTCGCGCGATTTTGAATAGGTAGGTACTTAATATTTTTGTTAAGATGAAATAATAATATTTATCTTGCGGCCCGACGGCGTTACGATATTATAATTACCATTAAACGGGATAAAACGATTATATTAAGAACTCATATCCGCTGAACGCGGTACACGGGGCTGGGACACGGTGGGCGGTCTAAGTATATTAACGCGAAACGCCGTTTGGTTGGTTTTATTATGATTATTTTTTTATTTTTTTTTTCAGATAAACGTTTAATAGCCGTGACTGCAGCAAAAGGCGGCACGACGACGAAAACATTCACACGGCGCGTTATTCTATTTACTGAATAATTGAAAGTCTGAGCACGGACATTATGAAACAAATTGGATCAACTTGTTAGATAATAGAGCCACCTAAATATGGTAATTCCGACCAAAAACTCAATTAGACTGAAATTAAAAAGAATAGAAAGTAAATTAACCTTTTGTTCTTGTGACCCTCGTCCATCGGTCGCGGTAATTAAAAAGTAATAAATCATAAAGTCCAGTAGGCATTTCCTCGTCCTGCCCGGCGAATGTACCGACTCGTATTTAATACCCAAAGTACCCAAGTTATGAGAAAGTACTAATTGCACAAGCAGGTGTGCCCAATGGACACTACCTATGGACAATACTTCACTATCCTTCATCGATACCTACATCAATAAATTTCTAAGAAAAAATTTATAATCCCTTAAATTTAAAAATTATATTTCACGTCAATATAGCTCGCTCTAAAATGGCCACGTCCGTTGCACACTCGTCCTCAGAATTAACCCTCTTTTTTTATTTTTTTGACGTTCTGACGTTTACGGACCACATGTCATATACCTAGGTAATGTGATAAAATTTTAAGTACAATTAAAAATTAGAATTTCAAATTTTGTAGACGAAAATCGCATAGTATTCTTTAACGCCATCTAGCGGTGCTTTTAGAGGCAGTGTACCATTTTTTGCTGTACACTGAACAGTTCATACGAAATTCTCGCTTGTATTCACTTTAAACACATAGCATAATATATATACCAAATGTTTAAACTTGTATATTTGTACTTGCTTCGGCGGTACATATACTAAAATTGGAACGATACAGAGAAGATTAGCATGGCCCCTGCGCAAGGATGACACGCAAAATCGTGAAGCGTTCCACATTTTTTTGCAAAAATGTCTTTTAAATAGATTTTATTTTTTTATTATTGACAATGTTAAACTGTTGAACCAGAGCGTCGTGAGACGCCAGCATGCGATATTTCTACTTATAATAATTTTACCTTTGATTCTTTAACCCATTGTATATTTTATTATAATGAGCAATCCAGCAATTTTTTTAAAAAAAATAAACACAAGTTGATAATCGTACTTTTATTTACGCACCATAACGATTTTCTTCTCTACTTGTATTTTGTAACATTGGCGAAACAAAGGCAAGCTTCTCGATTTTTTTTAAAAATTTAGAGGTGGGTGCTCAACATGAAAATAACTAAATATTAATACTCGTTTAGATGCTTCTAATTCGGTACAAATATTGGTAATATTGGTGGGTGGATATAGAATAACATTTATAATATAAATGATGGGATGGGCCAATATTCTGTACACATATGCTACTGATATAAAACCGAAAACAATTAATATTTTAATATAAACAAATATTTAAAAACAAAAACAATGACTACCATTGGATACATTCGTAGAAAACCCAATTTATCAATGTTTTTTCATACTCCAAAGACATATAGGTACTTATCTATAATAATTAATATAATTTTTCTCAGAAAAGATCTGGTCAAAAATCGGTTTTGAAAAAACCTATAGTAAGTAGGTACCTACAGATATTAGAAGTACTTGTTGATATTATATATCATTATTGAAATTATAAAACCATAAACAATAACAACTATGACAAAACTTATACTCTATCCCTAATTGAATTTTGTTTCTTTCAAGTTAATATAATTTTTTAATGATCTACAAGTTTAACACCTGTATATAATATTTAATCAAAATAGTTATTTAAATTCTTAGAATAATACAACTAACTAATGCAGCCACTAGTCAGTACAGATATTCTACAGGGCATTATATTTGTACCCATACAATTTACAATATGTTTAATATTTATGATATATTCATTTATAAATATGTTAATGTATGTTTACCAAAGGATTTTTTTGCTATATCCAAGGGGAAACTATACTAGAATAAATTTCATACAATTAAAATTAAATATTAAATTTGCTATTTTCAAGATATTATTCCAATTTTCATCACTTTTGTTAACACTTTATTATTACAAACAATATACATTAATCAAAATCATTAGATGCCAAGACTGTAAATCTGTATCTTATCCAAAAAATAATAAATCTTTAATACACATAATTTTTATTCTGAAGATACTAACTACATATTATAGACAGATGATTATTTAAACACCCATCGGTTACAATTAAGAAAGATATAAAGATGTAAATAATCATATTAAAAACATAATCATTTTTCCCATACAATATTATTACATTTTCGTTCAATTAAACATTAAAAAGAAAAATTGTAAAAAAAAAATTATTATAGGTGGGGAGGGGGAGCATATAATACATTTTTCGTTTTGTAAAAAATAAACATAAAAAAAAAATATATATGTTATATATATTTAACTCAAAAAAAAAAAAAAATAATAATAATAATAATAATAATAATAAATTATTACCCCTGATCTAATGAACAAATGAAACATTATTCAGGAAAATAAAGTGAAATCTGTGATACTATTGAGTAAACGAAAAGATTTATGGTATGAAAGAAGAAAATGACACGTCTGTATGATTACCATTTTCTCAATGAGTAATGTTCATTGACTCCTAAGGACAGGTTGTCAAATTGTAAATACGGACTTGACCCTTAAGTCAGTTGGAGTTCCAATAGGGTGTGGCGCCTTGGTTATAATTTTGCTTAACATTCACCTTACTAGCTGTAGGATTTACAACTTGGTTACGGCTCATGTTACCTGTTCCATTGCTTAATTCTTGCTAAAATTTTTAATTTTATAATTATTAATTTTGACTTTTTTTCAGCATTTTTATTTCTTTACTTACCCCTTGCCTGCTCTGAACTCTCATATCAATCTAATAACAGAAAATACAAAATATTTGTAATGTTAAATTTAATACATATTAATTAACAAAATATAAAATTTTTTTTAAACCTGATGGTGCAATGGTGGAATATGATGGTGGGTTGGAGGCTGTGGATTGCCAGGAGGAATTGGTGAAATGAATACTGGAGCATAACTTCCACCACTATGATGACCACCTACTCCACCATTGTTTAAAGACACAGAAAATGGTGGTGGGGACTGAAATGACTGCTGTTGTTTGTCATAAGGCTAAAAATAAAAATTCATTTGAATTTTAGTTTAATAACAAAAACTCAAAAATATACTTACACTGACTTTATTTAGTGTTGACTTGCTAGAATACATGACAGCAAGATCAGAATTATTTGTCTTGCCTTGAGGAGCTTGAGAAGTCTGCTGTCCGGCTACACCAACTTTTGTCGCACTTCCATAATCATTGGATGACCCAGCGACTGAAGACGAACCAAGAGTTTCATATACATTGTTATATCCTGCAGGTGCTGCTGCAGACTTATTGTAACCGGACATACTGTTGGTAGCCCCTGTACCGTGACTGGTTGCACTTGCAGCTGGCGCCATCTGATAACGAACCGCGTCGGTGTGTTTTTTCAGTGTTCATTTTATTATTTATTTATTTTATATATTAAAATAAACATTCATAAGTTTTATTATTTTTTTTTTTTTTTTTTTTTACTTTTTTAGAAGAAAAAAGTCCTCTCTTTTTTTTTAGAAGAAAAATTACATGGATGGCACATATAAATATGTGGGTGTATATGTATATGTGACTGTATGTGTGTATGTGTATACGTACATACATTTTAACATATACACATATACACGTACACATATCTACATATATTATATACATTTATTGTTTTTACAAAAAAGGATTGAATGATGTATTTGCTCCCCCAAAACCTGAGAATTTTTTGATTCAAATTGTTTACAACTAAAACTAAGGAAAAGGATGACGAAATAATTTGAAACCGGATAAGGTGATTTGGATGATTAAACATTCATCAAGTATTTTGTTCGTCCGCTGTGTAGCAATAGATCTAACAAAAAGAAAAAAAGAAAAAATCATACAGAAATATGCTTAAGAACCGAAGTTGCAATAAAATTAAAGTGGTGATTTTATAATACACACCCTTATTTACATCTTAAATCTTTTTCTTAGAATTGAACCTTAAAATGTGTTAATAAATATATTTTAAGTTAATAATTTATTACTTGGTAAGTAGATGGTAAATTATTAAAATTATTAAATATTATATATTATTATTAAGTATATTCACTAAATATACATTATACATTTTTCAAATCTACTATTTTTACTACAAAATAAAAACAAAAACACTAAAAACTGTTGTCATATTTATAAATTCTATTTAAAAGAAAATTTGAACAAAATAATGTACATTCAAATATAATATAAGTGTTATATATAAACCTATCTATTTGGCTATTTGATAGTTAAAAGGAAATTGATTTAAATTGATAATAAAATACACTACAGCAATTTAAAAACAAAACACTTATACTATGTTTTAATTTGATACATCCAGAATAGAATTAGGAAATTAGAATTTTACATTTTCAGTAGTTGATTTTGAATTAGAATTTTAATAAATGTAATACACAATGTCCCATCATGTTCAATGTATTTTTTTTTAAAGATGTTAATAATTGTTTTATTTTTTTCAAACGGCTGTTTTGAGAGCAATCCGTCTAGGAAAAAATTTGATTTTTTTTTCAACCCTAATCTTTTAAAAAAAATTACTTTTATTTATTCATTTAACAAAGTTTTTAAAAAAGGCATTTTATAAAAATATAATATGATTCTAAAAATTTGAATGTAACATACATTCATATATTATCAATAGTTTCTTAGAAACAGCAGTTTTAACTTCTCGAGAAAAAATGTGAAAACAAGACTACTGCATAACACATTTAGGAATAACTTGATTTATTGAGTCATAAATTGAAAATATTAAGAAATTAAATTGACTATAACTAAAAATGTATGACTAAGGTATGAATGATACATTCAAATTTTTAGAAATCATTAACAAAATTTTGAAAATGATAAATGAATAAATAAAGTTATAATTATTTTTATTTTTAATGATTAGGAGATGAAAATTATATATTTAATTGTTATCTAAATATATGTCCCACTCAAAGAAAAGGCTGGTGAAAAAAAAAAATTTTAAAATAAAACATTAAGAACTTTAGAAAAATCGAACACGGGACACTGTAAGTATATATAAATTTTATTCAATTATTAACATTTAGATATTAAAAAAAATCAATTATGTTTAGAGAAAAGTAGAAAATCAGATAATATGTAATCAATTTTTTCTAGATTCAAATTTTTTTTTTTAATTAACATTGCCTGTGATAAGTCTTTACATAAATAAACAGTGTATGAATTATAAACATTTTTATAACAAATAATTTGTGCTGCCCAAAAATGCCCAGATTTTCTACATTACATTTAACATATGAATATAGGTATAGAAATACTTAACATATATATTTGTATTTATAAATATAAATAATAGATCAGCAATTTACTTAATTATGAATATTACCTAAAATAAAACTAATAAAATAAGAAAATGTTTAAGTTACTGTTACCTACAAAATAGGGTAAAACATTGACTTCAAATGTATATAATATATATAATTATATCCTCAAATTTTATACTTGTACATTAACCATTCCAATTAAAATACTAACTGTATTTAATGATAATAGTATGATGATGAAATGCTCAATTAAAATAACTAATCACTTATTGTTAAGTTCTATATTATTTTAACATAATAAATAAATGAGATCAAAGTATTACACAACATTAATATTTAAATTTATCTAGAATAGATTTTCTGTTTGGGTAATTATTTATCAACAACATAAATTGCATATAATTATTAACCTCGAATTTGAAATTATTTGCAAATAATATGATAATAGGCTATCAGAATACAAATAATTTGTTACTAAAAGTATTCCATTAATAAAGGAGATTTAGAAAAAATAAATATTAAATATAATTAAAATAATAATTTCATAAAATCAATTTAATAGTAAAAATTGACTGCAATGGCATACGGATGTAAAAAAGATATTACTTTTAAATTAAGTTTTTATATCTTTTATAAGTAATGGAAGTTAAATAAAATAAAATAATATACATTTATTTTCTTTATTGAATATTTTATTAAAATTATACAATTTGTTTTATATAATCAAATGTTATTTATTAATAGAGTTAATTCAATAAATAAAAATCAACATTTCTTAAATTTTAATTTATTTTTAAAAAATAATGTCACAAATCACAGTCTACTGTCACTAATGACAGTAGCGCATGTTTAAAAATCCTTAAAATTAAAAAAATAAAACTAAAAATGGAAATTCAATTTCTTTCAAGTATTTATTGAAATTAATCCATTTGACATTAAACTTTAACAATAGAATTAGAGTGTCTGCAAAAAAAAAAAAAATTATCGATTATCTTTTAGGAAACTCAATTCTATATTGTAGCTACATTGATATAATTAATTTCACAATTTGTTTAATAATAATAAATTAATACATTTTTAATAAGATTAATTTATTTATCTATGCCCAATAAGTTAAGATTAAAATTCATAAAACATATATATATATATATATATATATATATACATATATATTTTAAAATATAGTATAACTCTATCCTTGTATATTGAAAAAAAAAAAAATGTAAGAACAATCATTTTTCTACCTTTTACTTTATTTAACAGAAAATTATGTTTTTTAGAGGAAAATGTATAATTCAGCATATGAGAATTACAATATAAAATAAGTACTGTAATTTATATTGAACATTTAAACATAAAAAATATGCAATTTATGTAGTAATAACTAATTTTAATTAATTAGGTACTCAATCATCATTTAATAATCAATTATTAAAGCATACCTAATCTAAAAAAAAGCAAGTCATATACTCAATGGAATTTTTTTAAAAAAAACATAACAGTTATAAAATAAATTGATAACTTACTGGATACACAGTACCATATTGGAAGGGATTAGCAGGTATCACAGATTGACCATAATAATAGGTGTAACTGGGAGTTAACGCTGGATTTAACAATGTTTGTTGATGAGCCAAAGTTCCAGACTAAACAAAAAATTTTAAAATAAGATTAATAAAATTCATTTTTTTAAATTTATTATTTATTATTTCAGCAAATAAGTCATTTAAATACACAGGCTACATAAATATTTAACATTAAAAAATAACAAAACTCATGTGACTGAAAAAAAAGAACTAATCAACAACAATCTACAATCTACAACATTCAATTTTAATTGTTGGATTCTATCATTGGATGGCTTCCTGTTTAGTGTCATCAAATGAAAATTAATTTGTTCCTTCCTCACATTTACTTATTGTGCAAAATATGTATAGGTTGTAAATTTTTCAATAAAAAAAAAAAAAAAAATTAGTTGACAAAATGTAATTTCTTTGATTTTTGTAAATACTATTGTACTATAAATACTATGTATATTATTAGTTTTTTTTTTGTTAGAATTTTTTACTTAGGCTATTAATAAGAGTAGATAGAAAAATTTAAAAAGTAACAAGATATTTAAAAATAATTGTATTAATAGAAAATGATTTAGATTCAATGCACACCTAACCCAAAAAGAAATTGGGTTCACAATATATTTTTTATTTTGTGTTTGAACAACATTTCTACCAGAAATCTTGCTTTGATAACACTATCTTTATAAAACCGAACATTGTCAGAGCCTTTTTTTTTATTTTTTTTTTTTAAGTTATTTTAATAATCAGTAAAAATTATTTGTTAACAAGAAAATTAAAGAAACAACAACAGTTTGTTATTTTCATTTCTGTTTATTTGAGGCAATTCAATTAAAAATAAACAATGTGACAAACAAACATTGAAATAGCTTAAGCTTCTTATGAGTAAAACAAATATTTTTTCAACAGATTGAATTAAAAATTAAATTAAAGGGGGATCATCTTTATATCCTAACTTGTATAGTAACAATTCCAAAATTTAAGAACATATAAAAGTGAATTTGTCTGCACTCAATAATCATTAAGATCTAAAGATTTCATTGAATAGTGTTCAAGCTGCTTTTAGACCAATAAATAAGTGGTGGGGAAAATTAGACATACTTCTAGAGATCCGGTTAAGTTTAGAAACTAAAACAATTATGGTATTATTTTTGAAAATTCCAAATTTGTATTTAGTGTCAAATGAGTAATCAAAAATCAACAACAAACCAAAACATACTTAAAATTAAAATTGAACATTAGGATATATAATTAACTCTTCTTAAGTATTTTTCCCTCTCACAAAATTCCAACAAAAATACAAACTCAATATTACTTTTTTAATTTTTAGATTCTGAGCAGAGCGAGAAAATGTATTGGTTTTACTATTGATGTTTATTTTATCTGTGAACTACTTTTCTACCAGCAATTTTGTACCATTTTTAAATAAAGATAGATCTTAGATACAATCCTAAATACACCACTAGTAAAATATCAATGGATCATAATCGACAGAAGATTAACATGGGGCTCCAGCTAAAATCCAAACGCAAATTATTCAATAATCGCCTACACATACTTTATCCAATATTTAAGTCCAAACATTCAATAAATTCGAAATTAACAATATATAAATATCTTTAAGCACCGTCTGGACTTAAGGTTCACAAATCTGGGGAAGTACTAAACTGTCCCAAATACAAACCATTCAAGCATTCCAATCTATATCCCTGTCTCATAGCCTCTGCATAGTATTTCACAAATAATGCACTCCACAAGGACTTAAAAATCCAAACTGTTGAACAATACCAAACAATATTAAATTACACAAAAAATTACAGCAACATCAGCAATACAGAAATTATCTTATATTCCACCTATCCTCACTTACACTACCTGACAAGCCTCAAAAGGAGCTGGTGTCGAGTTCTTTTATATGATATAAAAAAAAAAAAAAAAAAAAAAAAAAATCAACCATCTTTACTGTAACTCTGAAAGGTTCTATTTATTGGATGGTCGCCCTTATGCCATTCTGTCATTTATATTTATATTGTTTTGTTATGCATGTTACCACATTTACTCACTGTGTTTGTTAATATAGATTGTACAATTTCTAATATAAAAAAATGAAGATAGATCCTAATTTGTAAATGTAATATCAAAACATAATAAATTTTGTTCATCAGGGACAATTCTGTGTTGTAAGTTTTTAATATTAAGAGTAAATTAATTTATTATCAAATTTGGATAAGAATATGTGGTGTTATCATGTTTTTTTTTTTCATAACTTTAAATTTTTTAAGCGGGATATGATTGAAATGTCACAATATAAAAATGGTAACATTTCATTTAAGAATTAAAATAACACAAAAAAAAAAAAAAAAACCAAAAACAAAAGTCCAAAAATTCTTTAAGTACAGTAATAGGTTAATTCGCTCTAAAATTAAACTAACAGCACAGAATTTTCTCTACTGAATAAAAATTTACTACATTGCGCGGATGTAAAATGGAAAAAGCACATGCAGGTATACTATCCTCATAACCTGTATTATTAGCACAATTATTATAAATAATTCATTATTTAATATATAACAAATGTATATTTATAATGTTATTATGATATTAAATTACCTGTTGCGATAAAGTAGATGGAACAGGTGAGGCATTATTGTCTGAACGTGCAAAACGTGAATCTGTTAGGGAAGAGTACCCGGCAACATTGGAAATACCAGATCCAGCGGTTTCTCTACCAGTGAGACTGGTGGATACATTAGGATACATTGGATCAGGTGAGTAAAAATTAGTCTAAAAGTTACAGTGTAAAATTAAAAATGTTAGTACTGATTTTTTTATTATATAATTTTTATTTTACCATATGGTGAGGTAACCGTGATTGAACCATTTGTACATGTTCTTCACTGTACATTACAGGATGAGATTGATGATAATATCCTGGAATACCCTGTTGGCTCAATATATACTGAGCACCAACAAGAGGTGCAACCCCGGGAGGCATACCCGATAATACACCACTTTTATTTGCTAAAAAAAAAACCAAAATTAATTAAGGTTAAAGTTATGCAACCAATATTTTTATTCTAAAAATGCTATTTTTAAAAAATTATAATACACATAATTTTAAATAAATATTCTTTAGTCTATTAAATGTATTTTAAATTTTTAAAATTAGAATGAATTAGTTATAAAGATCAAAATAACAATCAATAATTTATGGTTGCTACAAAATTCCATTTTTAATTTTCCCAGTGTTTACCAGAGTAAACAAATAACAATGTTTGTTACTTTCATTTTATTTTTTTTGTCTATTAACAACTTTTTTTTTAATCAGATATCTTGATCCAATCAATAAATAAAAAGGGACTATTTTTGTTGCATTTTGGATTTTGAATCATTTCATGATTTTTCAAGGGGTTTTCACAATAATTTAGAAAAATCAGAAACAAAATTGTTGGAAAAACTGACTAATATTTGTGGAGCACAGTGGCAGACTGATTTTAGACCAGTCATATATTCTTGAGTAAGTTTAAAAAAATAATTTATACATTTATGAACTTAATCAAAAAACAAACAATATAATATACCAAGAAGTGTTATAGATTTGTATTATATGTATCAAAAAGTATTAAAATTCAAAAATTACTAACAGAACCAGTGTTAAATGAATGTACACTTTCCACCAATGAAAATAATTTTTCAGAAATATAATCAGTATTTTACTTAATTCAATTTATATGAAAAAAAAGAAGAAACATAAACCCAAATATAATATAATTTTTGTTCATAGCCTGTAATATTTACAGTAAATTAAGTAACTTTTAGGTATAGCATAAAGATACAAGTATGCTAAGCTAAATTGAACACGAGTATTGTATTTAAAACTTTTTCTTTTTATAAACTAGCTAATTTTGATATGCAGCAAATGAACATTAAACTCAATTATATTAAACCCAATTTATAACTTATAAAAATAGTACAGCTAAGAAATTCTATTTTCATTTTAAACAAAATAATTACTTGTCGGTGTGGTGGATTTGGAAGTCAATAAAGTACTCTGTGCGAGCCCAATGCTTGATGTTGTACCACTTATATTATTACCACTTGAACTAGCATTTGATGTAAGAGGGTTACTTGAAGGTTGAGATTGTTCATACTAATGACAAATATAAAAAAAAAAAAAGTAACAAACAAAACATCAATTTATTTACCATTATTATTTACCAGACTGTCTTTAGTAGAATTTGTTGTTGAAGTCAATGAAGCTGTAGACTTTGACAAATTAGTTGTATTGCCTGTCTGGTGTAAATTTTGATGAATATTATAGTTGGAATATGAAGATGGTGTATACATTGATGCTATATTGCCAGCTGACACAATAGGATAGGTAAGTCCAGATGCTTGATATGAATGGGCTGGATTTGGGTAAGAGTATGATGGAAACGGTGGTTGTGCAGCCGTTTGTTGGTAGTTGGCATTTAATATTGAGTGGCTTGATTGAGACAATTGAGGAATGTGGGGATTAGAGGTATTTACACCAATATTGGATGCCGTTGCACCATATAAACTTGAATGGCTGGAAATTCCCTAAAATAAATATTGTGTTAACTAAATAATTTTCCAAAATAGGTAATAATAGGTCTATCTAACATCAACAATATTGTGAATTAACTAAAAATAAATATTTTCCTGTTAAATGCAATAGAACCCTATATTGTTTCTTTACTAGTCTTGATAATTATTTGGGCCGCAGAATGGTGTGGTTTATAATCTAACAACACTGCAGTGATGTCACTCTCTAATAGTAGACAATTTGATTTAGTATTACTATTTTATGAATACTTAATCACTTTTATTAAAAATATAGAAGTGTGTGTACAAATAAAATGTCTTAACTAATTTCTCAAGGTCCACAAAATCCACAAGGTAATTCTTAATTTGTGCTATCAAAGTAAAATAAGTTCATAAATTTAGCATAACTCAAAAAAGAAATATTGTGTACATATCATATCATTTAAATAATAATTAGCTAGACAGTTGTCTAAATAAAGTCCAATTTGTCCATTGACTGTATGATACATTGACAAACTGTAGTTTCTTATTCTGTATGTAACTTAAATTAAGGTCACACAATTAAATCTATAACTTTCCTTTTACATTTATGTCCTTCACCCAGCCCTTATTGGTTAGCCACATACAATTTTTTTAAACAGCATTAACTATTCTCTCAAATTTTGTATAGTATTGGTAAAAATGAATAATACAATTTAAAACAAATGATTAGAAAGATTATTTAGATTAATTACTTTTCATCAGATCATGTATAAATTAAAAATCAAATTAAACAATTGAACTAAGATTTTGAGTTTAATTCAATATTTAAACAATTGGGCAATCATTAATTTATTATAGATAATATAGATAAATTTTAAATTTACATACTTGTGGATTAGTTGAATATACGGAAGAATTGTACATTGATGTAGGTTGGCCTGAATTAATAGTATTTACATTTTGATAAGGATTAGTGGCTGCAGTATTTTGTTTAGTTAAGTAGTCTGCAGGAGGAGGAACACCAGGAGGCGGTCCTATTTTTGTTGTTGTTTGAGGTGGCTGATTTACTACCTGAGGAGTTCTTTGATTCTGGACTACAACTTGATTAGCAATTGCTGAATATTCAGTCTGTGTAAGCACAGAATCTACTTTCTGAGCAACCGAATCATCATATTTAACAGGTGGCAAAGGATTTTGATCCTGTGAGTCACCACATTGTTGTGTCACCTCACCAGAAAGGTCTACAGCACCAAACGAAACATCTAAGAAGTTGATATTAACACTTGAATCATCAGGTGGCATTTCAACAGCACTTAGTGGTATCTTGGAAGGTGGAGGTATACGAGCACGCAAGGTTGGTTTTTTTCCCGGGCCCATTGAATTTTCTTCAAAAGGTGAAGAAACGAATTCCACTAAGCACACATAAAAAAAAATGCATTCAATTTTCATTTAATTACATTAATATTATATGTTTACCTGGAGGATGAGAATTGAAAGTATTAACACTTGGTTGGGGTTGAGTAGTTCCTTTTTTTAATTGGCTCTCTTGAGTCAATGAAGACAAGTACTGTGATTGTTCTGGTGTCAGTTTTGTTTTGGTTACTGAAGCAAGTTTCTCAGAAGCTGGATTCTAACAAATACAATTAGATATACAAAATACTCAACTTTTTTCGAATTTATTATAAATATTATAATCATTACATTATTTATAGTTGTTACTGGCGGGTTGGGTGCTTGAACCGCATCATTCCAGTCATTTAATTCTAAATATGCATTTTCATTTGGCTTAGTTTCTAGAACTTCATTATTTACAATAATAGACTCAGTACCACCACTAGGTGTAAATACTTTAGTGTCAGCCAATGACCCAGTGTACTCTTCATTATCCCAGTCTTCAGGAGAAGGAAAAGTATCCCAGTTGTCTATTGAGGAAATATATTTAGTTAAATTAAATTAAATAACTATACAATGAAGTCAAATTATAATATGCTATTATCGAAATTGAATTGACTAACACACAAAAGAAAAATAGGCATGGATTTCTTATCTATAAGTTCAAAAATTCATTAAAATTGTGGCTTAAACCTCAATTTTTTTTTTTTTAGATTTTTAATTTTATCAGCACATATCTAAACCTAAAATTTCAAAATTAAGACTACTATAAGTAAACTACTAGTAGTATACTACTAGTTAAGTATGGATATAGTTTCAAAATAGTTAGTCATACAAAAAACACGATAATTTAGGTTTAGATCAAACTTAAGAGATAGTCTATAAAATCAGAGTAAATCTGTTTTTAATAAACTAATTTACATTAACTTCAAAATAGACTTGTTTCCAAGTCAAAATATTAATTAAAATAGTCAACTTAGTAAAAACTTCAACAGTTTTCTATAGAGTTAATACAATTTTATTTATGATCACTATATTTTAAATTACTTAAATTTTGTACAAATATAAATTGTATATTTGTACTATTAATATCATCACTATCTATATAGTAATACTTATCCTGTATACAGTTTTTAAGAAACCCATGTGGTAGATAGTCTACTTAATAAATTTATTATACATACAATATATTAAACCACAAATTATCATCATCTAATAATATAAAGAAACAGTTGAATACTAATACCTAGTGTTACCAAATTGATATAAAGTAAATTATAAAATGTTATATTTATCAATTATATATGAATTAGTAATTACAGTACAACATAATATTAATTTTAACTTTTTCTCCTATTAACATTATCATTTATTCTAATTTATTCTACTTCAATTTAATGTATCCCATTAATAAGGAAGAAGACAAAACATGAACAAAAAACAAAAATGGAAGAGAAAATGGCTGAAAACTCGTCAAATGTATTTATTATTAAATAATATTTAAATTTAGATATTTAATATTAAATTAATTAGACTGAAACACATCCACTTTGGAGGAAATTACAATCCTACACAATTTTTTATTTTATTTAAAGTATAAAAATAAGTAATAAGTATATGATAAAATAAAAAATTTATGAAAAATTAATAATTTTGCAAATTTCAAGTAACTGTAACTCAAATTATTTTTAGCTAAACAAATAATTCTTAATCAAAAAGAAGGTCTATTAGAATCTTAAGTAAAATTTTAAGTTGTACAGTGCACATGCCCCGCAAAAAGGTTAAAAATGTTGGCATCAATCTACTTATGTTTTATTGTAATTACCTTTTTTAGAGTCTTTTGAGGCAGTTGGATTAAACCAAGTATCAATAGGTTGATTGAATCCACTATTATTACTACCGCTTGGTCCAGAATTTCCACGTTCACTATTTTGGAACATACGTGTACCTCTAGAACGACCACTGTAACGTGGTCCATTAGCACCCCTACGTGGTCCTCTGCTTTCAGAACGGAAATTACGATTTTCTCCATTAGCACCATCTTCGGGTAAATTTTTTTCACCATCTTTGTTATCGCGATCTCTCCCTGTTGACATAAAATAAATTAAGTGAATTCAAGATAGGAGAAAATAACACCAACATTTACGTGACTCTCCAAATCGCTGACCTTCCGTTGGTCGAGGCCTGTTATTAAAACTTCCCCGACCACCACGACCACGACTACGTCTTTCACTGAAATTTGCATTATTATTTTGAATAGTATTATTAACTACAGGTGTTGAATTTGCATCCCAATCTACTTCTAATAAAATAAAATACAAACATTTTTAAAAAATGTGAAACAAATATTAGTAAAAATCAATTAATAATATTTATTTACTAACCAACTACATCTACTTCACCATTCTTTAATTCATCTTGATCTTTTTTATTGATACTACTAGCTCGATTCTTCTTTTTTTTGCCTGTTGTTGACCATGATTCCTTAAAGAAAATTTGATCTTCATTAAAATTAAAAAGTAAGAAACAATAATATACTATACTTCAAATTATATACCTGGGTTCCTTCAAAAAGTGCATCAATAGTTAATGCAATATCTAAACCATGGTCATGCAAGGCAATCACAATTTCATCTTCAGACTTTTGAGTAATCAGCATCACCTAATAATGATATAAATGTAATAATAATAACTTAAATTCTATAAGTCAAATATTTATCTAACCTGTTTAACTTTGTCTTTTATTTCTTCATCAGGTTTAAGATCAATCATTTTAGCAATTCTTAATTGTTCTGCAGTAGGCTAAAACAATAATTTACAACTCAGTCATTTATATTAATTATTAAATCACCATTTTATATTGTACCTAACATTAAATACAAATGGTATAAATAACTTTTGTTCAATTCTCATAATATAATGGTAGCTTGCATGGGAACCTACCGCAATATTTCAATACTTATCTATTATTAAAATTATACATGGATAGGCCCTAAAATAAATAATGTTTAATAACTTATAGAATTTTTAACAAATTAAGAACACTTCAAGTATTATAATATTGTAACCAAAATATATAGATTTAACATATTATTTACATAAGTTATTAAACCCTTATAAGCTAATGCTTATTGTGGGATTAAGAGTTCAATTAATTTATTTAGTTTTTAGGATGTAAGCTTTATTACATACAAATTTAATGATTATGATCAATAACCTGAATTAAATTGGATAAAAAATTATAAAATATTAAATAAACAGATATATCGTGAGTAATTAATCAGAGGTTATGTAAATATTTTGGGTATATTTACCCATTTAAAATTAAGGTAAATATAATTTTTTTTATCTTGACCAAATGTTTATTCTAAAAAAATAAAAAAATTTTCATTAATTTATCAAATTGTAATATTTATATAAAAAAAAAAAAAAATGGAAAAAATATAGTTTACTGTCCCAGAGTTCATTTTTCAAAACATGTGTTTTTAAATGCTTAATACATTGGTATAATCAAAACTTAACTATCATAGGTACTTACATCTATGATTTTTGTACATAAATCTTGAAAAATAGCATTTTTGGAATTAATTCAAAATATGGTCAAAAATAGATATTTTTGTTATTATTATTTTTAATAATTGATAATTTGATAACAAAGTTTATTTATTGAAGTTAGAATAAGTCTATTTGACTTGGTTTAATTTAGAGTTGCAAATGTTCAAACGTGCTGTATTTCGCTGCAGTAACTCAAACAATTTTAATCAAAAATAACCCTCGATTTGTTGTGCAAAACAACTATGTCGGATAGGTAACAGGGTAAAGTTTTGATTACACCAAAATATTAAGCATTAAAAAAAACACACATTTTGAAAAAAAAAAAATTGAAAAACAAACTTTGACTGTAAACTAATATTTATACCAATTATTGAAATAATTAATAATAATAATAATTTATTTAAAATTTTAATTAACAACTTATTAACTTGAATTTTATTTGTTTAGAAACATTTTATTTTTGTTAGATTTAGTTGTAAAAGATTAAATAAAAGTGTTTAATATTATACAAAAATTAAGAAATTAGTTACGATGTTCATTAAACATTTGATGGTTATAAAAAAGTATAAAATCAATAGAACTCACATCATATGCTATCTACACTGCAACCGTAATCTACGTCATCCCATTCGGGGGTTTTTTTTTTACCCCTGAAAACCTGTTTCTGATTATTTTGAAGCATTTAACTTTTTTATTATTATTGAAGCAACAAACAAAATGTTACAAAAAAAAAAAAACAAACGGGATATAAAGTAGACTTAATATTCTGTATCAGCAGACTACATACATACACACACACACACACACACACACATCTGCGTTTTACAGGCTAAACAGATCTGGTGTGAAGTATAAACTAATTTACTCCGAAATTGGATTTAACCGCTAACAAATACATAATTATACCAATGACACAAGAGCACACCGCCAATGGCAATCAATGTCCGACCCACATTTATCGACTAGATAACATACAACGTGATTAGTGTTTATGTAGATAGCTTACAATGTGAGTTCTAAAAAGAGAAGTTTTGATATAAAATATACAAAATATTACATTTAAAATTAATGTATGGGGTAAATACTGGGTATTAAACTAAAAAAAAATTTACTAGGTCAATACCCAACACTACTGCAAAACAATATTAGACAAATTTGGCCAACCAATTCAGTACTATCGAGATTTTTATCACTTACTGAGGTAATTTATAACCTTACAAAACAATACTATTTTAGGCTGGGGGCGATTAAATAGTTTAACTCCTCCTTATTTGAAATCCTTAACAAGTACTAAGTTTACATAAGTTTTTTTGGCTATTGATGCCTATGCAGTGAATTTTATGAAAAGTTGAGTATTTTAGAATTCATCAAAAAAAATATGCAAATATCATAACTTCTATGCTCAGATACTCAACTCTAATTAACTATGAGTAGTTCATGATAACACAAGAACGTAATCTACGATTACAACCTTCATAATTATTTTATTTCTCCATTGAATCTAAGCTTATAAATAATTCTTAACTTTTACAGTCTAGTTTTCAATATTTTTGATAAATAAAAATTAATAACCCGTATAATATTATATTAAAAAAAAAATGCAATAGGTATATAATGTTATTATTTATCAATAAGACGCAGTTGAATATATTGACCATCATTCATTTGGAGTAATCCGATTTGAAGTCACGCAAGATGTACAGTTCATTTTAGGCTACTAAGAGTAAACCCTACTCAAGTTAACTCTAACAAAGAGTTTTTGAAACACACTAGAATATTTTAAAAACTTTATAAACACTCAGCATCTATATTTAAATGTACATAATAGTAGGCATATTTATTTTTAAGATAATATTTAGAATCATTTATGTAGAAACCTACTATTTACAAATATATTAAGTAAAAAATGAGTAGATTTAATATTAATATGAATTGAATCTAATTATACCTAGGTTTTAATGTTATTTTAATTTACATATGTACATACATAATATAATAATACATCTAGAGAGAATTATACTAATATTATTATCTAGAGTTAGAAATAAAATTAACAACAAATTTAAAGTTAAAATACTACATTTATTCCCCATTTTACCATTATAAATAATATTAAATACCTATTCAAGTAATAACACAAAATAATAATGAAAAATAGGTCAATTATATGTCATAAATTTCATCTATTAAATTTATAATTTCTTTAAAAAAAAAATGAAGAAATTAAGGGTACTTTAGTAATTATGTGTAATTACTTAGTTAATACCAAGTAAAGATATAATCAACTACTATAAACAACCAGATAAAATATTTTATCTAGAAGTTTGTTTAGTTTAAGATATTAAGCTAAACAAATTGCTACATTTAAATATTGTTTTAAAATGATTTTTCATTAAAGAATAATATAAATGCTTAAAAATACTTTTCAGTGTTATCATTTTATTATAGATAAAAACTAGAGTTTATATTTGAAGACTAGTCCTTTAACTTTATTATTATTATTATTTTTTTTTTTTTGTAACTAATAGAAAGACAATCCTTGTAACAAAATGTTTTTCATTTCATTTCCTTGTTAATAGATAATACATATTTACCTTGTTTCACCTTAATTTGATATTATACATTAAATTATCAATTTATAACAATAATTTTGAAAATATTTGCCGTATAAATTATGTCGTTAATAATATATTTAAAATAACTGGTAATGAGTAGAAAATACACACGTGTAGTTATATTTTAATATTGGTATCTATTATTCATAATTAAATTGAATATCAATCCGCAGTCATTGACTGTTTATCAGTAGTTATTATTTTTTTTTTTTGCCAAGTGCTTTTTAGTTCAATTTTTTTTCATTATTATTATTATTTAGAACATTTCAAAACCAAACCCTGAGTAATAAGTTAATAATCTAGCAATAACCTATTAAATTCCTCTGTAGAATAAAAAATTAAAGATTTTTAAAATGAAAAATGAATTCAAATTTGCTCAAGATGTCTACATAATAATAATTTCTAAAGATACTAAACTACCTCATCCAAACTTAAATTTAGCCAAGCCCCCATATAAACACCTTATTTGTAAAATAGATAATGAATATATTAGGCTTAACTACCTAGATAAATATAATATAAAAACATACGCTACAAACATCAAATAAATAGATACCTAAATTAACACATTAAATTTACCTGTAATTTTTCTTTATCATGAGTTTTGTTTTGAGCAACATCTTTTGATTCTGCATTTTGTGTAGATGTGTTAGGGCTGCTGTTTTTGCCTGACGTCTTGGCGTTGTTTTTCACAACACCTTTAGCGCCACTCATTTTAATGTAGATATTATTATTGGACAGTGATTTTATGCCACCTATCCCCTATGTACAACGGTATTTACAGGGAAATCTGAAATTACAAAACAAAATAAAGCACTCGAATGCAATTGTTGTTTGAGGCCTAAAAGAAAAACCAAAAACGCATCTAACAGTAAATACAGTTAGGCATTCTAAGCGATAGTTTCACAATGAAAACAAGTATATTAGAAAGACTATATCGGGTATCTTATGAACAACACACACACGACACAACAGATTTAGGTGATGGTGGCTGATACACGAAAAAAAAAAACACACATCATATACCTACCTACAGCTCAAGAAAATAAATGTCTTTTTCAGACAATGAGAACAATGCGAAAACCAATACTGGAGAACCCTTGTTGCGCGTATACCACACACGTCCCAAAAGTATTATATCATATATTTACGTGTGGAATATCTACCGGCGGCATCGGCGGCGGCGGCGGCGGCGGCGGAAGAGGGGGAGATGCGCGCGCTAAGGGAGCATATGTGCCACGGTTTGGCGCGATAATTTACGGAATTCAAGGATTCAGGGACGAACGGACATCGACAAAGCGCGAATTCGAATTTTCGATTTACAAAAACAAAGTGATCGTATCGTATCACGCGACAACGTGACATGTATTAGGAGGTGTTCTGTCGTTAAGCACGCCGGAAATACGGTGGCTGTGGCGACGACGCCATTCTCGGCGGATGGATATTATGTACATCACCGACGTCCGTCGAGCTACGGACGCCGTCGTCACGATGGGTCGTACGCGCAATCCGCCGCGGTCGGCCAACCAAGTTGATATAATATGATTATAAATTGATATTAAATACGCGCCATACTTACCAAAATTCACAAACACATTTAAAAACTTAACGCACAATATCGGCACGATCAATGCATTTAACCTTTTACAAGACGTATAATAGTATCAATCAGACTAACATTATTTTTGTACACAAAATGTAAATAATAAAAATAAAAATACACTGCTTCTCGGGTGGTGTGTGTGAATACTGTACAGTGTGTGACTGTGTGAGTGCGAGTAGTGTTTGTTCTGTGTTTTCTGGTGGGTTGTTATGCCTTGTGCGCGTTTTGCAGGAGTACGTGCGTGCGTGTGCGCGGCAGCGGTGCGCGTTGTGCATGCGGATTAGAAAGAGAGAAACTGAACGGACGATCGGCGGGCACGACGGAGACACAAAGAACGCGACGGCCGAACGAATGCGTCAATCATGGAAGAAACGACGCGATATTTTATTTCACCATGATAAAATCTGAAATAATGCGGATAATAGGAAGCGAACCTTTACGGAATTTTTTTTTTTTCATTTCCCCCCCGATAGTCCGATATTATATTATATTGTATTATATTATTTCGTAAGAAACTCGTAGACTGTTTCCATTTTATCCGACATTCTGGTGACAAATTGTTTGAATTCAAAATTTCGGCGTGGTGTGATTGTCAATGTAGTAACCTATAGTTTGTCAATTAGTCGAAAAATCTAACAGCAGATGGTGTTGCTGTTTATGTTTTGCTTGTCTTTAGTTCTATACGATTATACAAATAGAAATAATATTATAAGTTGCAGTTTTTATAAAATAAAATCTTCATTTTACCTACCCATTTATTTTTTACTTAACACATTGTGTTTAAATTATCTTCGAAAACACAACAGAGAAATCCAATTTCATTTACTGAAATTGCAAATACCAAAAATCGAAACATAATATCAATATTGTGTAATCGAATTCATAATTTTAATTATTTTTTTCGATTCCTGTTCCAAGCTAAAAGCTTGTATTTATAATTTAATGATAATTTTTTTTTTCGCTTACTGAACGCACTCTATGGGATGTTATGTATATTTATTCATTTTCTGTTTAATAATTATATGTCTATTTATCATCTATCATTACAAGCGTAGTTTATTTTACTTCAAACAATCTCAATTTCACACTCGTTATTATTTATCCTGTTTATACTTTGAATAGGTACTTTTTTATGGCCTAATTCGTAACACTGCCTACTTTTATTTTTATTTCATTACTTATTTGTAATGTTGGGAAAGAAACTATAATATTTTGATTCAATATATTTTGTTTTAATATCTCTGAATCTCTTTAAGTTATTGAAATACAATGTATACTTTGAATATACACATATTAGGCGGTACGTAGGTATACTTGTTAATCATTCACGTGTTTGTTATTCAGCTTGTTTATTTAATGTTAATATTATATAGGTACACAATACTATTGTCATTTTTAAGTTGTAGTAGTTGAGAAATATTTCAAATAATTTTAAAAAGAGCAGGTAGGTACCTATGATAATATTTAAATCCGTTTCTAGAGCGTTAGTATTATAAATGGAATGCAGTAATATTGTTAATGACTAAAATGATTACTTAACGAGTATTTAATTGTACTGTTATATGGTATTTGTTTCTGTAATCGTATACTTTCTACGGCATACAAACAATAATATAGCGAATTATATTTTCGATAAATGATATTTTAATGGGTTGGGCGCGTCGTCGACGAATTATTATTGCTGTTTTAAAATAAGTGATTTTTACGATGTATAGGTATAGTTGTGTACGTGTAGTGTGGTTGTAATGGTTCACAGTGGTGGAGCGTATCGTGGCTGGAATCGGAGGGCGATTTTTCCGAAACATATTTCAAATACCTAACCTAGAATTATTCTCTGTGACAATATACGATCCCCTGCTGGCTTCCCTCGCATCAACCAACCCCTACGCACCACTCGTTTGGCTCCACGTGTGGTATTTTATTGTACAATGTATAATAACGTAAACTGTACCTATATGTGATATTTTGTGTCTGTATACGTTCTGCTACTCGGTCCGCGCGTCGCCAAATGTGTAATGAAAACACGTAGGTATTCTACGCACCGTGTTGCCAGTTTAGGTACCTACCACCCAACGACGAAAAAAAATAAAACGAATATAATATTATGTACCCGCACAAAAAAAAAATAAAAACGATTTTTTTTTTTTATCTCTCTCGTTTATTAGAAATACAAAGTTAATAACATACGTGTAGTTACTAACCTCGCAATAGCATGGGATACAGGATTAGAAGAATACTATGATAAAATATAACGTTATTATATTATAGGTAGTTCTAGATTTAATCAATTGCGTTATTTTCAATAAGTGAATATTCCTATGTATATATATAAAATAAAAAAAAAAACAGTAAATTTAATAACCGCTGTACGTAATTAAATATTCAAACCAATTTAATTAATTATTATTTATTAGCTCTAGGAACATACGAAATAATAAGAATAATCTATATTTTTTATAAACGATGATCATAAACCATTCGCGCCTATTAAATAGTTTTATACAATTACCATTAATTAACCCCGTAAAATTTACCAGATTGTACCGATTTAATAATTATATATATTATTAAATCGGTTTTAATATTTTATACATTCGAATTTGGAATTACTATTACTAAACGTTAGGTATATTATGTATAGTAACTTGTCCAAAAAAATAATATGAGAATTTTGATTTTAAATCTTATTTTTCTCTTTATAATAGGTTGGTACAAGTCCGCCGTAAAACATCTTTCGCACTAAAATTTGATTACCCTCTTTTTTGACTATCATTTATTTCATTTTGCCGCTTTAATTTCTTTAAAATTTTATGCCACTCTACGCATGGTTTACTTGTACCCTAGCGACGGGCTTGGGTTGGGTTGGTATCTATTTATATATTACGTACTTACCTATATAATAAATTTAATAATAAAAACTATTTAGTAAGTACCTATAACGAACGTAGACATGTGATATAAATGATCAGCCCCTCTGCATGATTTTCCTGTTTTTCTTTACATAGATAAATTATCAATTATATTATAAATAGTGTCATTCTGCATTTAATTATCATCACATATAGTATTATATAAAAAATTTGAATGATCAAAATATATAATTAATCATTGATAACTACTGTTTTTTCCCATGAAAATGCTGATTTTCCAAATAGTTCTTTAGATTTCAAAATGCTATCAAATAATTTTTTATAATCTCGTACTCATATTTTATTCTAATGATTCACAAAATCCCAACTCTGTGTATAAAACCTGTTTTATTTCTGTATGCTTACCTACTCTATAACCTTACCTATTCGTACTGTAGTACACTTGTACAGTAGGTTAAATTATAGTTTAATGAACACACACTAAAACAAAAAGGAACCCATGTATTATTATCATAATAATTACTATTAGTCTAGCAGATACCTACATAATATTATATGTTATTGCTTATTACATTCAAAGTTTATTTAATTCTATATACCAGACTCTGTATTTTCACCGAAGAGAATAAAAGTAAATTTTAACCTAATGGCGATAAGATTGTTTTAAAAATGAGTGGGGTACTGTTATTTGTTGCAGTAAAAGATCGATCCGGAATAATAATATGCAAATAACGACAAAATAAAATATCACTGCGGTGTAATATTTTAATACGGCGAGTGTTGTACGAAGATTTAATAATAATTGCACAAGGTCGAGAAACATGGAGGTTTTTGTGTATCTACCGTATTATATTATCATTCTGCTCATTTTAATGTGACTGTACTACAGATATAATATAAAACAACTATAATAGATAGTCGCCTTCGGTATTATTAATGTCACCAATAAAATGGCCGCCATCTTTATCTAAGAGGTGAATGTTTATGTTTTGTAGTATTAAAAAGGAACGATGTTCGGATGTTATAATATTTAAATATTGTGTAAAATGTACATTTTTATTTATCCGTGGACTGTACAAATATACATCGAAAACGTTACAATAATAATCAACGCAATACATTTAAAAATTTAAATTCTCCATATTTGAAAAAAATGAATAATTAATTAAATTTAAAAAAAAAAAGTTAAAATAATTTTTTTTTTATAAATCTCTTGAAACGCATTGTTAATTTCCACGTGTAACACTTATACATTGCGTTAAATTTATAAATGTAATTTTAGGTAGATGGTGACGGGGAAAGTAATGCTAAAACGGTTTTCCCTGGCTCAGTGGCGATTGCAGGGAGAAAAAAAAGGGTAATATGATAATTTTTTAATTGCGAATAGAAAAATAAAATAGAAAAGAGTTATATTAAAGTGGTCATTAATGAGACATTGATAATAAAACAAAAATTATACATTTATCAATAAAATATTATACAATAATAACTCACCGATAAATGGGCAGTGTGCATTGTGCGCTTTACATTATAGACTATAGTTTATAAAGTTATAATTTATAACTATAAGGTGTAATATTATTTTATGGATTTGAAGTGTAAAAAAAACTTAAACATATAATACGATAAAAAAATGCATAGGTAACATTAGTTAAAAAATATCAAAAGGTACAAAATATGAAGACATACAAAGTTATATTCTAAAGCACTTATATAAAATGATTTTATGAATTGAAATGTTTATGCATTTTAGCTTCTAGGCGAATCGAAGAATGTACATTCTGGCTTTTATAATTTTTTTTTTTTTTTATTTTTTTCTGTGAACAACTTCTCCACCAAAAATTCTGAAAGGAAATTTTATTTGGGTGGTATTTCAATGCTTGAACATTTAACTGAAGGTTTATTATAAGACATATCTACTTTATGGTAAAACAAAATTGAGTGTAATGTAGAATTTTTTAACATCAAAGTTTGATGAAAATCGTAAATATTACAGCTTTTTAAAATGTGCATAACTAAACTCTGCTCAGAATAATTTTTCGTTGTGTACAGATATATATTAAATTCCCATCTATATTCTACCTTCCTAACTTCTCACCTACAACAGTGGCCCACCCATCATGCAAAGTTGAATGAATGTTCATTTTTTTCATTATACTATTTTAAATCACTGCAGAATAAAATATAGTTTCTTGGACATTATTAAAATAAACCATATAACAAAGCATGAGCTAGGGTAGGTTAGGTAGCACTATAACTTAAATGGGCATTCAAAAGTGAAATTGCACAGAGGGGATGGAGAGAATAAAAAAATGGATGCTACATGAATTATAAATTATAATTTATTAAAATTACTGGTTTATATTATTTTCAGGGGGATGACAAACACCTCTTCCCCTCTGTCTTGTCCTTTCTATGGGCACCTATGCTAAACACCTATATTATTTATAGAACTGGTAGATAATACAAAATATAAATTAATAACAAATTAATAATGTAATTATGTCCATTCTTCTTTAATTATTGAAATGTTTTCTAGGTAGGTATATTAAATAAACATATCAATATGAAAAAAAAACATCAAATCATAAATAAATAATAATATACTTATAACAATTGGGTTGCAATGAAAAAACCTGGTTGAAATAAATAAATCATTTAAAACTACATAATAAGTAACAATTAGATATCTATTATTTTTTAATCGAATAGCGATGTTTTGAAAATTTTTTTTTATATAATATACAGTTGTAAACAAAATAATATTTTTATTTAATATAAAAAAAAAACGACAAAAAATAATTATTATAGATGTGAGAACCCTAAAATATATTGAGCACCTTGTATGACACATACAAATATTTGATTATCAATTTACTAAAATATAAAATAACTAAAGTAAAAAAATTAAGAAGCAAATTTACCATTAACACAGCCTACATGAGCTTTCAATCAATCTAATTGCATACACTGTACAAGAGGCATATTATCTTAAGTTCCATACATTAAAATATATAAATAATAATAATCTTCCTTACATTTAAATATAAGTAATTCATTAATTATACATGTTTAATTTTTTACAGTACAATAGCTATATAAAACTGTCCATTAAATTAACAAGTAATTTATAAATTGCAAAATTATATTTTATAAACAATGCGACTAAATATTAGTTAATTTAAATCTTATACACAACATAATAATATACTATGTCATAATAATTGTACCTATTTTTACTGTGGCACATGGAGCTATAATACATACAAAGAATAATGATTTTTAACATGATACATAAAATTAAACAAGGTATTCTAATATATATGTTTTTACGTTGGTATTTTAAAATAATTCAATTTTATAAATAACACTCTATTATTATTCACCTAAATTAATAGTAAACAATATATTTTCATTTTAAATACATTATTCAAAAATATTAATTTTCAAATTATATTTCCTTCGATTATAGTTTACAATTGTACTAATTTATAATTTGTTATTAATAATCTAAATGTACTTTAATTTAAATTTATAAATATTTAAGAAAAGACTCTTTCAATGTTATTGTCAACATTTGAATAATGTAAGAAATTAAAATATACAACTACATTGAGAATATTAATATTTGTCTAAAAAATGTATTCAAAACAAAAATAACTTAATAAAAATAATATATAATATACAGGGTGATCAATCTATCATAAGACACTCATTTTGGAAAATATTAAATTTTTCTGAATATTAACATTTAAAAAACTAACTGCTCCATAATTTTATATTTATCCACAACTTACTTTTGATTTTCAAATGCCAACCTATACTAAAAATCCCATGAATAGATGGAGTATTATTTAAAATAAATTTTAGTGCTGACATTTTTGATTTCTGTTAATGCATTGACAGGATATTTAACTTTAAAGTTTTGGTCGGGGGAGAGTGGTGGTGCATTATAAACACATAATACGCTGCGTGCCATACGGCCACACAAATGATCCTTCACTACTCTTCATCAACCCAAACTTAAAAGTGAAATATTTTGTTAATGGATTGACGGAAATCAAAAATTTCAACACTAAGATTTATTTTAATTATTACATTATTTATTTATATAATTTTTAATATAGGTCGCCATTTGAAAATCAAAAGTAGGTAGTAGTTTTACCCTTAAACACAAGGGTAACAAAAAATAACAAATATAAAATTATAGAACAGCTTGTTTCTTAAATATTCAGGAAAACAAATTCCTGAAAAAGTTAATACTTTTCGAGATAATGAGTGTCTTACGATAGATTGATCACTTTGTATGTACATTTGATATTTATTTTAGATTTTTAACAATAATGGACAAAAATTATATAATAAATAACAGTACCTAAAATATCACAACTGTATTAAAATAAGAATATGACAAAATAAAACAAAGTAATGTTACAAAGTTGAACATGACAAAATAAAACAAAGTAATGTTACAAAGTTGAGGCTTCATCAAATATAAGCACTTACTCTAATGATTGTTTTATTTTAATTTTAAATATTAAAATCAGTCAATATTCCAAAGTTTTAAATTTGGAAATAAAATGGATATTTATAATTTATTATCGAAACATGACACATATTATAAACACAAAAATTGGATTTATTAATGTACTAATTGCCAGCCTACAGTAATAATAATAATCATTTCATAAAATACATTTAATTTCATTAAATAAGTATTCAAAAATAAATTTTAAGTTTATAACAGAGATGCAAAAAAATATATAAATCATTTAGCTTGGTTTTACAATGTACTATAAAATGTTGATTAACACTAACTGTGAGTTAACCAATAGAATATTGCTGGTTCGCAGCAAATTTAACCACTAGTTAGTGTTAACTGGACATTGTATGAACTTACAACTTAAACTGTTTCATTAAATATTTGGGCATAACCTTACCTTAAGATAACGAACAGCTATTTGGTGATTGTAAGCTAACTACAGAAGAAGTATCAAAATTAGATGTTATATCTTGCGTTTCATCACAACTAGAATCCAAAGATATAGCAGGATGATTATCTGTTTGTATATGATCAACCATTTCTGAGGTAGAATGACTTCCTCCAGTGCCTTCACTTATTGATCGTGATCTAGATGATTGTGTAAGAGCACTAGATAATGAAGATGAAGACGCTTGGGGTGTAACTGTTGGAGCAGGTTGTTTAGATGTTATAATTCTATTTAATACACCCAATTGTGATTGACATGTAGTCATGAAAGGTCGATAGCCAAAACTAAAAACATACAAAAGAACGACTAATTTAAAATGTAATTATTTGTTTGGCGGCAAATATATTAAAAATAATACTTTAGGGACATATTTTATAGATAAATAATTAATGATTAAGTACAATAATGATATTTAAGAAAAATAACTCTAAACAATTTTGATTTAATGCCCCAAACAATTTAACTAATAAAAAAAAATTTTGATTTAAAGGAATGTAAGTATTTTAATTTTAATTCTGATTTTCATTAGTTGTTTATCAAATGTCATAATACATAATACATTTCCTGAAATAAAAAAATATTCAAAATATTCAAATAATAGGATATATCTCAATAAATATTATCCTTCTAATCTTCGAATCTTTAAGTATTTTAACTATTTAAAATTGGGTACTTGAGATATAATATTCATTTATATATTAATATAATTTCAAGAATTTGTTTTAATTATTTTTACCCATAATATGGTATATAAGTACAGTTTGGAACAAAAGGCAATCTAGTGAAATTGCAATAGTTTATAATATTCAAAAATGTATTTTATTACTCTAAAATTAGACTAAATTAAACTAACACCAATAACAACATATATATATATATATATATATTTAATTAATAAAATAATTTATGATAATTTTATTAGTTCATATGAAAGGTGCAAAGGTGAAATTATAAATTGCATATAATGAAATAATAATAATAAATTAAAATATCATGCATGCTGTTTTTATCTATGAAATGGACAGACAGTGTGATTATGAGGAACATAAAAAAAAAAATAGAATAAGCATAGAACATAAGTCTACTAGGAACCTTAAAGTTCTCTTAAGCTAATAACTCAGGCAAATCTATAACACTATTAAGTTTACTGAGAAAACTAAGATTGGCAAGCATCCTCTGGTCGGTTAGAGTAGCTAGCTTATAAGTATAACATTTACCATTCATTGCAACTCCACTGATACAATATAATGAACGCTTGTTTTAATCTTGAAACAGACTCAAAACTGTGTTCTGGAGAGCGAGCAGTAGATATGAGTCGTTGGACAGCTAAGGCATCACGAAGAAATACTGATACAATAAAGCTCCATTCCAAACACCCAGCTTCAATTAACAATTGCAACAAATATCTGTAATATAAACAATAGCTAGATAAATAGTTACACAATAAACAGATTAATGAGAACTAATGAAGTATTAACCTAAGTTGAACTTCAGCTTTGGAAGTATCTTGTGATAAGTGTTCATTAGAAAGTTGTTCTAACATATGTGCATTAGGAATAATATTCCAGTTATCAACATTAGTTTGCGCTCTTTCTTCGTTCCATAACAAAGCATCTTCAGATTCACTAACAGTGCTAGCTTCATCTTAATATAAAATAATCAAGTTAATAAAAAATGCTCCAATACATTTATTAATTAATAATTGTATACTAACCAATTCCTGTTAAAAACCCATCTTGTGGATATTGTGATGATATTTGAGGAATATCTTGACAACTCATGTAACCACTGTCTCCTACTGCACTACCTCCATCTACCCACTTGGGTTTATCTATATTAAATATTTCACCTGATGGAGGTAGAGAACGTTTTTGAACAGGAGTTAGTGATCTTGTTATAGAAAAATCAGTATAAAGACTTCGTAGGGCTACAATATAGTTATCAATTCGAGCTGCTCCATTACGTTCTTTTATTAACCATTCAACTAAATGAAAGTCTAAACGAGCAGCAAAATATCCAAGTGTTCTTAATTTATAATTGAATAATAATTTAGTAGCATGTTTTTGAAGAATTGTATCAGTAAAAAATTCTTCCATAATGGAATTGCAGGATGCCATTTCTTTTCTGAAAGACATTTAACACATATTAACTGTAATTATTTACAAAATCATAAGATCAATTTTGTATTAATAATTCTAATTTATTTTGAAAATTAATAAATATAAAACCAACCCATTTTCAGATTTTCCATTTGAAAGTACAGATCTTTTTCTTTGTGAACTATTATGCTCAGTTCTAGCAAAAGTTGAATTCATATCTATTTTTGGTGTAGTACCAGTACTAATACTTCGCCCTCTTACCTATAAACAATAATATTTAATTAATAAAATTGCTTTCTAAGAAGAAATTTTGAAACATGAAAGAACGCTTGAACAATGGAATGAAGGATAAAACAATCAAGAACTCCAAGATAATTGCCAACACCAATCAACAATTAGAAGAATAAAATGGTCTGCCATTTCATTCTTACATACCCATTCTTTGCAAATCAGGGACCAATAATAAGGACTGTAATCGAAAACAATTAGTTTGAAGACCTCACTTAAAATGGAAGGATTGGGTCGTTAGAAAAATGTAGAAGCAGTGAAATCTGGAGTACAATAGCAGCAAAGGACAGAAATATGTAGAGAAATACTGTTCTAAAAGACTTATAGATTATAAGAAGAAGAATTAATAAAACTAATAACTTAATGTTTGAAAATTTCAACAAAAAATGTATTTTAGTTGTTTTAGAGGTACTAACTATAAATATAAAGATTGGATTTAATTGCAATCTGTCAATGAAAAAGAAACAATACTAACTCACCAAATTGTTTAAACATAATTCACATAATTGGTGGTTGCATATTTGTTGTAGGTGAGAACTTGGGAAGGTAACATATAGAATGGAATTTAATGTATATCTGTACGCAACAATAAACCATTGCTAACAAAAAATGATACGGAGTGAAATTGCTTTGTACGTACATTTTCCCATTTTTCCTAATTATTATGAAAACCACGTGGAAAATGAAAAAATAATTTTCCTAAAGTACTACCCAGATAAAATTTTCTTTCAGAAAACGTACTATACTTGAAAATCGGAGCGAGATATTTGGTAGAAAAGTTGTTCACAGATTAAAAAAAAAATCTTTGCAAAACTTAAACCGAATTTAAAAACAAATTTAAAATTGCAAGGAATATCAGAAAAATTATATTTTACAATTATCATCTGTAGATTACAAACCAAAGAGACTATATTCTTCTTACCACTTTTATATTACAATTCTTATTGCTTCAGATTTCTCTCATTCTATGACAAACCATCTCAGTTTATTTTCTCTCATTGCATTTATTTATTTACTAAAGATAATACCCAAGTTACAATTATGGTGTGAAGTTGACAATATACGGTACATATTACAAATGTTAAATAAGATAATATGGTAACATAATTTTATGGAAGAAATAACAGATCTTTATTGGCAAACTTCATCATAAGGTTAATTGCCTTGTTTTTAAATAATTAGTAGGGCAAAGTGGAACAGAAAAGGTCTGTGAGTTGTGGGTATCTCTAAGGGTTAGAATTTAGAAATAACCAATTTAATTTTGTCTACTATTGAAACGTATCTCTTATATATGCGTTTCTCATGTTATCTTCTCTTGTCACTTCCACTGTGTCATCCGATAAAACCTATTAGATTAAATTATTATTTTTATATTTTAAAATTATCCATTGAGCACATTTTGTATATACAATTGTAAATAATTGCTATATAAAATTAAAAAGGATTTATTTTAATTTATGGTTCATAAAACAGTTGGAACATCAATTAAATTCGGTCTTTATTATTTATTAACTAACTAATTATTAAATACATTTATTAATTTGTTATACTAAATACCTGGATATTTCCCATCAAAAATGATAAATCTTCTTCATTTGGGTTCACTGTTGTTCCTTGTCCAATCATACTGTATTTAGCAGGAAATATACATGATGTTCTTGGAGAATCTGCATCATTTGGATCTAAAGCATAATAGAATTTAAAGTTAAAAATATTTTATGTTAAGTGAAAAATAGTTTAGTATTTTCTTACCAATTGCTTTCAAAAATCTGACAAGGTCTTTGGATAAATCCCATTGACAACTATCTAAGGCCGAATCTAATAATAAAGTAGCATATTTACAACTGACTGATGATGATTCTAAATTCTGAAAATATTTTTTAAATTATTGATTTAAACTATGAATTTATTGATTTTTTATTGTTATTTTATCATTAATTACTATAGATAAATAAAATTATATTTTTAAATAATCTTAAACATAATTATATATTTACAAAAAATAAAAAATAAAAATAAAAATATTATAGTATTTGTTCAGACGATTGAAAATGATTAATTTTTTCATAAATTAAGATAAATAAGCTAGAGTAAAATATACAAACTTCTAATAGCCAAGTCTATGTTTTGAAAAATGATTTAATTTTGTAAACTTCTTTTTATGTTTTGTAGGGAAAATAATTTCAATTTGTTTTTTTTTTTTGTTCAACATTTTTTAATACAAGTTAATTTAAAGAATAAAAGGTAAACACATCAAATACTTTAACTAAATTAACTTAACAACAATCAGACAAGAAATCAAAGAATTCAAATGATTTTAAAATAAAAATTAATCAAGATGTAGTGGGTCAATTTCCCACTATACCTTTAATGGATATAGGACAGTAAATTAGTGGAAAAGTCTTGTGATATTAAAATGATCATTAAAAGGTAATTTTTGTTTTAATTTTTCAAAATTAGGAAAACTATAACGAATCTATTAAATGTTAGTGTAACAAAATATGTGTCATCATTGTTTTTTTAAATTTTTGTCATGTTTTAAAATAATGAAATTAATATATAAAATGTTATCATTACTTATATTATTCAATTGTGATATTTCACATACTCATATCTCTATTAAAAATTTAAATATCACAAAAAGGGTACAATAATGTGTAGATAATGTTCTTATAGTTAAGGTAGATAGTTAATCAATTCACTTTAACATAAAAACCAACGACACAAAGCTGTTCATGCAAATTTGCTGTCATACTTTTATACAACAAAGATAGTACATGCGGGTATCATGTCCTTTTAATTATTTAAAACTATTTAAATGCAAATAAAAATAGATATAATTCTTGTTATATAAATAGTATTTTATTTTACATATAATATAAATAACTAGAGTGTTCGCTCCTGCTCGCTTTGTACTCCAATCCCCATATTTCATGGTTATAGAGATTACTATGGTAACAAAACGTTAGATTATTATATAATATATACTTCTATGCCAGTTAGCAAATGTATAAAGTCCAGTTTTGTCATTATTTTAATAACTAATAACTATTTAACTAATTTATTTTAACTTTTCTCATCAGATGACTCATCTATAGCCTAACTTAACCCACTGAACACTTGTGTTTAAAAAAATCACAAAAATCTGTAGGGTAGAATTTCAGATATAACTGTCCCAAGATATTGCCGCACGTTTTAGTAATATAATAGATAATAGATAAATAATATATAGAGTATGAATTATATAAATATAAATTTTTTTTTTTATATAATAGAAATATAATTGTAAAACAAATAATCATAATAACCTGAAGTATTATAAGATATGAAGCAGCAGTGGTTAAATTTTGTCTTTTTAGACATTCTTGAAAAAGATCTTTAGGTTTTCCAGCAGCAGAAAATAAATATGGCCACAAAGCAATTTCAGTTTTACGAGCACACTGAACAACAGTTTCTAAATAAAGATTGGGAAATTCTTGGATAAATTCTATAACACTAGGTAACTGAGCATCTGGTATAGGTTCCTTGCTGGTGGCTTCTTCTTCCAAAACCTAAAGATAAAATTAATTACATTTTTTCATCATATTGTAAACATTAGATTTTATGAATAAATTATCAAATAAAACATACTTCATGTAATAATAACTCTAATGAATGGGAAAAGTATGGTAAATTTGTACAACATCTTGCAACTTCCCAAGCATGAAAACCTAAATTTCGGCGTATCAACTGTCTTAAAATTTGATGTAAATAAACTTGACTCTAAAATATAAATTAATAATATATAATGTAGGTCTGATAGATATACATTAAGGTAAACCTTATTTTTCAACTTTTTAATTTTTAATCGAGCATCTTTCCCCTTCATATTGTTTATTACTATAAAAAATGATCTGCATAAAATCTACCAAAGTTTTTCATACATTTTTAATTTTCTAAAGGAATTGATAAAATACTTAACTATACAATTATTTGGAAAAATGACTTTTACAAGATAATTTGAACATATTTAACAGATAGTTGAAAATATGAATTTTTTTTACAATGTTTCTTCAAAATGTAATTTACTAACAATAAGTTATTAGTAAAATATCCATTGAATAAATTGTTTACTTTTTATTGTAGGATTTATGCAATACTTAGAAAAAATACTTTCAGAATGAATAATACTTAAATAATGAAATCAAATAAAGTTGAATTAACCTTTTGTATATTACATAAAAAACAAAAAATTTAAACCATATTTTTTAGAATCAAGACAATAGCATTTTGAAACAAGCTTAACTAAACTTCGCTCAGAACCGTATTTCGTTAGCAATGAATTATCATTGCATACATATTATATAAATTAAATAACTATGTATCCTACCTTCCAAACTTCCCACCTAGAACAGTAAAATACCCATTAGCAGTACAGCTCTTTTTTTTTTATAGATGATTTTATGTTTTATATTTAAGGTCTGATACATTTTTATGTAATTATTATAGGTTTATGAATTCAATTTGAAAATTGGTTTAACTACAATAACTATGGACATTTTTCAATATGTATAGAGTTGAGCTATCATCACCAAATTTCATCAAAATTAATTATTGATAAAAAAAAATAGGGGGCTGGGATTGCTCGATCAAAATTATTCAACTTTTGTCACCTATAATAAGAACCATCATATAGACGGATGCAGTACAAGGATTATTATAATAATATGATACCAATATATTATAATATTGGTCTGCCATGTTGTACGATTCAGAAAGTTGGGCAATGGAAACAAAAATATTTTGGATTGACAAGCATATATAATATAAGAAACGAGTATATATTTAAACGAAACTCGAAAGCAGAATACAATGTAACATTTATATGAGCTAGTTAAGCCAGTGAGGGACATGGATGTTAAAGATAAAAGATTTATAGATGTAATTAAGACAATTAGTTTGTTAAGTGATAGTCAAGGACTGGGTTGGTTCACCCTAATTAACTACAAGAATGAAAAAGAAAATGTAATAATTTATTGTTAATGTATATAAATAATAATAAAATATACCGTTCTTTCAACTTGACAAAATGGCAAAGAAAATACAGTAGAAGTATCTGATGTGTAAAGCAAAGTGTCATTCTCTGCACCTAATAATATAGCATCTTCAAAAAGTATAGCTGAAATGGTAGAATATACATTTATATTATTAGGTAAATTATTATTATTCAATTTCAAAAGAACATTCAATTTAATAGCAAGTTTGTAAAAGGGAGAGAGTATATTTAATTTTAAGAAAATGCAATTAATCATATGTAAATATATTTAGTACGAAAAATATCAGTAATAAAATGTCTTAACTAAACAAAAGACGCCATAAGCCATTGATATATTAATATAAAAGTTTATTTTTATAACTACATTGTAATTAAGGGGATTCAAATATCATATTTTCTTACTTTGTCTAACATAGCAATTTAGAGTTCATATATATCAATTTAACTCATTCAATATATTGATATATGTTTATCTTTAATAATATTGATGATGTTTATGGCAAATATCAAATTGAATTTATATGTTCAATTTTGTATTGATGGTTTTAAATATAATATTTAAACACAGTAAAAAAAAAAAAAATAACATTAACTTATCATAGTATGTTTGAAATCAAAATGATAGTATTTTTTATGGTACACGTTTGAAATAAAATTTCAATACAATTTCTTGTATGCCAATATCAGTGCATTGTGTATCAATAAAACAATATAATAAATTCCAAGTATCTACATCCACAAATTGAAATATTGATATAATTTTAAAAATGTCCAATCCTAGCTTAGATCAATTTTGTGTCAGTCTGATCAAAATAATGAAGTTATAAGAATTCTCAAAATATATTTGAATTTAGCTTGAAAGATACACAATATCGTTCAGGCTACTTAATAATTTGCAGTCTTTTTTCAAAAATTAAAAATTTGATTTGAAATATTATTTAAAAAAAAAAACAAACTAAAATTAAATTGAAAAAATCTCATTAAAACTTCATGCTAAATTCAAATCTGTTTTCTGAAGCTTAATACTTCACTACATTGATTTGATTATGGTAGAAAATTGGTCTTAATTGCTTTGCTCTACATATTTCAGACACAGTAAGAAAATATTAATTTCAAATAACTTTAATCAGTAAAAATAATTGAACAACTTTATTTTATACTTGATAGATATTTGCATTGATAATCAATAATACAAAAACTCTAATTCTATCTTTATCATACCTAATGGGTATATTTTAAGTTGAAATGGCAACATAATCCTTTTGGACATAAAAGTATGTGATTTATCCCCATTTTTTGGAAATAATGGAAGCCAAACTCTCATCCCATGTGCACCACAAAACAGCCAAAGAGCTTCAGTTAAATGAGGCTTATCACGACGGTATTGACTTGAAACCCAAGCATTCTCTACACAAGATGCCAATAGAATTGGAGATGGAATAACTTGAGACTAAAATATGAATAAAAATATGATTAATTTATTAATAGAAAATCAAAAATTATAATGTAAAATTTATTTTTAAATAACAAATATATATTTCAATTCTAATGTTATATGACTTTATTCATGTGGTGAAATTTAAAAACATTTGAGCCATTTTTTTTTAAATCTATAGACATTATAATTTTGAGTTTTTTACGTAATTTTTATTTGGTAGGTACTTTTAAGGATAAAATTGTAAGACTAAACAGAAATGCTTGACAATTAAACAAGAGGTTCAATAAAAAAAAATTGAGTGCAATATAATTTTTTTTTTATAAGATTTTTAATATCAAATTTTTAAATATTATCACACCTATAACTGAACTTTATCCCGAATCATTTTTCAATAGCAATGGTTTATCATTGGTTACAGGTATAGATTTAATAACTTTATGTATCCCACCTACCCAATTACAACAGTGGCCACACCTGTCCCCAGTATCAGCTCTTTTTTTTGTTACTTTGTTTTATTTATGAAAAATAAAAGATGAATTATAATATGTACACACATTTTTAATTTAATAAGTAATAATATGAATATGGATTTCCTTTATAGTTGATAGAATATAAGTATTCACACTATACACTAACAATTAAGTTTGAAATACTTACATAATGTAAAATTTGACCTAAAAAATATAATCTTAAGATGAAATTTTAGCCCATGAGATAAAAAGACTTAAATAAACAAGTTCCGTCATGTCATGATCAAATTCTACCACCACATGGCCACCAATGTGTGAATACCACAGAAAAAGCTCAAAAATGAAGAAGTTTTGGTCCCTGCCCAGTTGCATTCTCTTGTGGATCAGAGTATAGAATACAGTTACTAGATCATATTATTTAATTTGAGTAGTTATATTTTTGTTTGAGAAGAAAAATACCATAATATATTGTAACAATGTAATAAAAACAAAAAATAGTTACATTTTTTCAAACTTTAAAATAAATGTATAATACAAAATTATTAAAGTTTATAAGCATTCAATTTTAGAATATAACATATGAATACATTTACCTGATCATCACAACTTTGCTGATTTACTAACAATAAATTTCCATTTATATTAAGTAGAAAATTATCTCTAACAGTAGATCCTTTAATTTTTGGTTCAATACGAAGAGTTGTAAGTACAACAGAAACAACACAAGTTGGATGTAAACATAAAGCAGACATATCAATAGTTTGCACTCTTTCTAATATTGCTAAAATATAAAGTCAATTCTATAAGTATTCTTACACCATAAATTAAAAGTTAAAAATGTCATAAAATATTTAAAATTATTTACCCATATTATGATTAGGAGATAGTTCAATGTTAAATAAATTAACAATACCATCAGAGCAAAACACCGCTAATCGATTACCCAAACAATCAAGTAATAGAGCTTGTCCAGTCAATTGGTATGCAATCATATTATCATTAGATAATCTAGAATCTCCATTATAAATTCGCACTTGATGTTCATCTTCAGGTACGCTGTAACATCCACAGACAATATAGCATCGCCACCATAAAACTCCACCAGTTACTATCATATCCTTTTCTTGTATTTCATTGCCGAATAGTTTCCAACGATGTGTAATTAATGAATAATGTGCAAGACCAGAACGTCCAGCTATTGCTATGTGTTTTCCATCATCATCTATACAAGATGTCTAAACATAGCGGACAAAATTTATATTAAATGTAGAGAAAAAATTAAGTATAAATTATTATGATTAACTGATTATATATTTTAAACTTACTCTAATTGGCCAATTAGTTCCTAAATATGGAGAAGGTGCATAAACAATGATCCATTGTTTATTTTCAACTAAAGCACTGGTAACAGTTAATTGATCTTTAGTTTTATTATTTGATTGAGTCATTTTGTATACTTTAGTTAGACCAGATGTTACATTCAGATAAAGTTTATCTTCACCTTGAAGATACAAATGTGGTCGGTGGCTCTAAAATATTAAAATTTTTAATACTTTATAATACAGTTTTTTTAAAACAAATCATTAGTGTATTTAGAGTTCATTTTTCTTAAGGGAGGAGAATATAGAAATTAAAAACACATTTCTGGACAAGAGTTTGAAACAATAAATTACTATATAAATGAAGTGCATAACAAACATGTATTCAAAATTCCATGAAAATATCTGAAATTAAAGTATAAACTATGCAGATTTTATAAAATAAATCTCAAATTTCAGTTGTACTATAGAAATAATCAGTAAGGTTAGGTTACTTATAATTAAACAGTGATTAGCAAAAGTGTATTAAATAATAGTATAAATAACTTGTATTATAAACTAGAACAAACGAGCTCAATCTCAGAAATTAGGGTTTCATAATTATATTGTTGAAAAACTAAACAAATTTAGTATATTGAGTGCAAACAATTTTTTTTAAACAAATGTTTTATTTTATTATTTTAAATGTCTTAAAAACAAATAAATTAAATAATTGTGTTTTTAAACCAAGAACCCTGACAATTTTAAGCTTACCATTGTTGGATTTACCGCAAGAGCACTTTTTAAAAATGACATTTGTAATACTCTATCATCATGAGTAACTTTTGAAGCTCGATTAATCATCCACAGTTGATAGCCTTCAATACACCAATCCATAGAAATTATATTGAGTGGATTTCTAGAGTTCAGATCAACATTGACACTAAAGTTCCATGCCAATGAACAGACCAATAAAGCTCCAAAAGTACTCCATACAGCGAAACCCCCATTTTCCCAAGCCATTACTAAAGCACAGCCATCTGGAGTCCACCGAGTGCATCTTACAGAACCTAATCCTCCACCTGGCCATACTTGACTTGGTATAACAAGATTGTGAGATAACTGTAAACCTCCAGTACGCTCATCAAGACCAAATACTACACCCTGGGAACTAAAATATACAATTTTAATTATTATAAATCAGATAATTTGCAATAGGCAACCAACTTTTTTAATCCATAAGCAATCAGTCTGTACTTGTGATTCAAACTAGTACATGTAGCAGTCTCAATTTGAGGGGCCCAAATGCCCTGAACTTGCTATTTAAATTAAATTTGAAACATATTAACATTAATTTTAAATATTCAAACATTTTTTTAAGTTTTTAAATAAATCTTACATTGGGATCAAATTTTAAAGAAGAAGCTGTAAGTAATGCTGCACGGCCATTGTTTAAAATAATTCCAAATCCACCAACTAATGGTGAGTATTCCATATCAATAATATAGGTATCTTTGGTTGTTAATGGTGCAGCTTTTTAATTAAAATAAAACAATATTTATCATTAAATTCATATTTACATGAGAAAAAAAAAATAAAATTATTTACCATTAGACACATGCAGATCCACAGAAAATGGTGTTCTACGTAGATCTATACAGTAATCTCGATTAATGGCACTATTCCAATGATATCTCAAAATATGTCCTTTACAAGTGGAAACCATTAATTCATCACGAATACAAGCCATACAACCAACTCCCCCATCTACACAAACTACTTGATCCTATACAAATGTGAATAAATATATTTTTTTTAGTTTTTATTAGTTTGATAATACAATATTACTTGTTGAATATGTAAAGATGGTATAGTCTCCTTTACAAATAGTTCATCGTTTTCTCTTTTCAGACTAGAAATATGTGAATCTTCCAAGTGATATAAGCTTCCAGGATCACCAATAATAGTCAAATTGTAAAATATTAAATAACCTTTAGAAGTCTGTAATACAAATAAGATTTAGCTAGTATCAAATACTGGCTATAAAAAATGGTTATAACTTCTTCTCCTTCATCTTTATTCCAACCCCCGAAGTATTAACACTGGTTGGCTTCTTCAATCACGACTACTGTCTCGTTAAATACTTATTTTTTTAAAAATTATTTTTAACTACTATTATCACTTGTACTTATTGTAAAAATATTTCACAGATAGTACAACAAAAAATAAATGACAAATAAAAAACCTTTATCCCAACTAATTGTATGTTTTACATCTTCATAAAAGCCAACATTCTTTTCACAAAAGATCCTTGGTATTTAAAAATCTCAACCTCATCTATAACCATTTATTTTTGTTAGCTGTCTTGTCCTGTTCCTTCAAACTCACACTCAAATTCTACTTTTCCCTAATCCCAAAGTGTAGAGTAGTGCTACTCTTCATTCCTTAAGTGTATTGTAAACTTATTCTACATATTCTCATATCAAAGCTGAATCTAGGAAAAAAACAGCACTGAAAATTACAACATGGTAAAAACGCCAAATGCATTTTACTTAAAAATCACAAAAACATTAGTTTTAAGTCAATTAAGTCTGAGTATTACTGCTAAATAGCTTCTCTTCTCATTCCTTTGAGTCATTTTAATATATCTAAACACTCATATACTTATTGTAAATATAATAACAAATGTTAAAAAAATAAAAAAAATAAATTAAAGTTAATAATAGTAAGTCATAAATATTGTATACTTTATAGTATAGGTAACTAATACAAAATTTGGTATATCTCTTTTCCCACTTTTTCACATAATGTTTGTTCAAATATTATTACTATTTAAAAAAAATATATTTAGTTTCCCCCCCCCCAAAAAAAAATCCAGGGGACACCTTTGAAATATATAGCTAAACAATGGAAGTTATTTTGTCAGCAGCCTACAATTAGCTACTAATATTTGTAATTTTTAAGTAAAATACGTTTGATGTTTTTTACTTATTTTTTTCCTTGTCATTTTTTTGTCGATTACCATTAAGTTAAACTATCTGTAAATATCATCCACTATGATACCCTCTCCTCTTACCTGTTGTCTTCGCATAAATCCGAGATGGGATAATCAACCAAAGTCATAATAATAATAATAAAAACAAATACTAACCACTATAACCAACATACTGGAATCTGGTCGCCATTCTACACGCCAATTAAGACCAATTTCATTAAGACTTTGTGTAGATCTTGTATATGAAGTGATTTTTACACAGGGCTAAAAAAAAAATTGAATACAAATTATTCTTTTAGGTGATTCTATAGGTAATCCTTAATGGTAAATATAATAGAAACAATAATAATATTAAAGCATACATGTTCAATTTTGTTGTCATTAAAAGATGCAAATAAATGAAATTAATATAATTTACTCTCAATGTAACATATAAAATGCATCTTATATTTCAAGTAAAATAATGGAATTGTAAGAACATAATACAATAACGAATACATCTTAAAGTATATATTTTAAATCAATTTTTTAATGTATTAATATTAATATTCATAGTGTATTTACATAGTGTACACAAATATTAAAACTATTAAGATTTGTTTAAATAGTTACAGTCTTTCAGTAACTATACAAAGACAATTGACCTAATAAAGTAGATAAATGATTTTTCAAAGAATATTATTTAAAATAATCTGATGGACAATTTTATTACTGATTAATAATGTTCTTTTAAATAATATAGTCTATAATAATATAATAAAATAGTCTATAGCAACTAACAATGAAGTTTGGAAAACAAAATTTTCAAATTGTAAATAGTAGGTACCAGTTTAAATTCAAATTTAATAACTATAATACATTTTGAATTGATAAAAATCTGGATTTGAGTTATTTATTTTTTTGATAATCGGTAGACATCAAAAACCAGAACAATACATTTAGTACGTTTACACCTATCAATCATTAAAAATTAAAATGACTTGGCGATCTGATAATAATAATCCATTAGATTTAAACGTTTTACACAATAAATAATATCTTTTGTTTAAATCCTACCCAATTCAGAGTAGTAGTCATAACCAACACCACAATGTTAACAAATTAAAATAAGTATATACAAGATAGGTAAGTACCTAGTTTACAAATATTATACTTTGGTGAGTTTTCTGAACAATACAAGGGTATAGAATGATTATAGAGGATAAATATTTAATAGATAAACACTAGGTATTCAGTGAAATAATACGTAAAAGAGCTTACCTTGCAAAACCAAATTTCCAATTGCTCATTGGAGAGTACAGCGAATAGAATTTTGTCTCGATTGCATATCACTTGTACAAGAGTTTCAGCGGCGTGTGCCGAAGCCAAAACTTTTGGCCAGCCTATTGGAAAGTACATCGTTTTTGCACTGGAAATAAAAAAAAATTGTTTACCGGATTACATTTATGCACGTCTAGCAATTTAAATTTAACATATCAGGTCCCTATATAAAATAATTAAACTAGTAACGTTGACAAGACCTGAATTTTATTTTCTTATCAAGGAATTTGTGCCATCAAATAATAATTTATTGTTGACGATACAAAAAAACATAGATTATGGAATTATAAACGATAACGTATCACAATTTCCATTATTCGGTTGAAGATAACAAATTGCTTGTTATAACCATGGTCAGATCGCGTTTGGCAACTATGTTCGTCATAGATCGCGCCACCGTGATGTAAGCCATCTATAATATTGTATTTCCAAATTTCCCATCTAATATAGTAATATATACCTACTACCTGCCTATAAATATAATCTATATATAAAGGTTATATTTTAAAACGATAGTTTTATTATTATATTAAAAACTACAAGAATAATATTTTACACGAATCACATAAGTTTTTTTTTCCTCAAAACAGTGATGTAATTAGGTTTATTACTGTTAATACAACTTACTGATGGTGATGAAAGTGTTAGACGATTGATAAGTACCTGCCTTATAATGTTTCAGTTAAATTAAAAATCTACTACTAATTGTCATATGCAACTATTTTTGTAGAATTTAAATTTAAAAAAACATTATTATTATATAATTAAATATACACAGAATTTACAGAATTTTATGTTACAGTAATTTCTCCCTATAAATATACAAAACAGAAAATAATGTATAATGAAACATTTTTTTTAAATAGTGTAATATTTTTAAATATACAATTATATGTGGGTTTGACATTTTTAGATTCCCTTTTGGGGGGGATTTGAGAGTCAACTTTAGAAACTCAAAAGGCAATCTATATTCAAATTTTCTATAGATAGATGCAGTATTTCAATATTTGTTCAAACACATCTTGGTGTTGAAATTTTTGATTTTCGTCAACTCGTTGACGAGATATTCCACTACTTTTTAGTTTAGAAAGGAGGATAGTAGTGGAATATAATTTATGTTGTAACACAGCGCCAGGTGTTTGAATATTGCTTCACTCCTCTCCCCCTGCCTAAACTAAAGAGTGAAATATCTCTTCAGCAGGTTAATGGAAATTAAATATTTCAACATTAAAACTGATTTAAACTAATACTCCATCTGTTTATGGGATTTTTAATATAGGTTCTTATTTGAAAACCCAAAGTTAGTATCACCGCATGTTACTTTTTAAATGCTGTGAAAACTCTAAGTACCTAGACGAAAATATCATCTTTAACTACACCTTAAAATTCCAAAAATCAGGATTTTAATTTATGCATGATTTACCCTTAAAAGTAGGGCGAGCAGCATGCTTAATGAATCGCTCTGTATATAATTTAAACCAATATTCAATTTACAAAATAATCATTAATTTATACACATATAACTACTAATGGTAATCTTATATAAGTAAAAAAGCTTTATCTTTATGAAGGACAAATTTATTTGGACCGTACTCTGAACACACTTTTATATATCTATGAATAGGTATTTAATAAGGCTATAGGTTATTCAATCGGTTTTCTCCAGTAGTGTTTCGTAAAAATGTTTTTACTTATTTCAACGTACTTTCGGGCGTCGCAGTTGCAACTTGAAACTGATAATATATCTAACACATTTAATATAAACAGTGTATATGGAAATAAGTCAATTAGGTACTTTCAATTACCGAATACGTGGACGATTGTTTTGAAAATGTGTAATCAATTTTGAATATAACTATGATATATACATAATACAGTATACCATGTAAAATGATTTTGTATTGAGTTTCGTTTATTAATTTTTAAATCAAAAGTTTATTTCGACATCAGTGAAATGAACGTTAGAAAATAGTTCTATAATACGAGTTAGTATTTATAACTATAGCTAGTTTTTTAGAAAGATTTTTAGAACATTTTTGGTGGTTGAAACTTTTGTTAATGTATGGTCTTTTATTTTCTACTATTGGTTAGTAAAATATAATTTTTTTTATTTTAAGTCTCTCTCTTCCTAAAAAAAATGTTCATATATAAACAATAGCGCTGAGGCATACTAAGTATTTAAAAAAATATATATACAAAATATTGAACACAACAAAAGTTATTGCATTTGTCGAATGTATTACAGGTATTACAGGTTTTTTGAAATGATGTCACTGTGTTTTGTATCACCAAAACAGAATGTTATTAGTTTTTTTTTATAAATATATTCGGAGTAGAACGTTTTGCTAGTGGTTTTGCTATACCTATAATATTTTTTTTTTGGGTATGTCAGCAACTTTTCAACCAGAAAACTTGCTCCAAACGAAAAAAAAGAGACCTTTTTTGTTGAATTTTTAATCTAGTTAATGCATTGAGGTGGTCACTTTTTGATTTTCCAAGGGGATCTGCATAATAATTGGGAAAAACCGGAATAAATCATCGGAAAAACAGACAAATGTTTACGGCATGCCACGACGATGTCGATTTCATTTTTTTCAATTTTCACGCATTATGTTTTCTACTAGAAATCTTGCATTAATCAAAACATTTTTGAAAATTTTTGATCAGAATTAAAAAATTTTAAATTAGTATAAATATAAGATTGTTTACCTACATACATTTCAGTTCAACTAGAAAATATCTTTATTATTTATAAAAAAAAAAAAATCATTAAAAAAACATTACCAAAATAAATAAATATTACAAATCACATCAATCGCAGATTCAAATTATAATTATGCAAATTACATACTATAAACTACTTAATCGTACATTTATAACTACCTGGGTATTTAATAATGCCCTTGATTTTGGCATTGACCATTGTGTAATCACATCCAGTGACGTAAAATATTAATATTCTGATTTATCATAACAGAATTTTAATAAAATAAAATCATATGCCCAGCATAATGCAGTAAAAGTTAAATCGGATAAAAGGTTTTTTTTTTACACAAGATAATAATAATGTTTTTTAAATTGAATTTCGGAGTACAATAAGTACCTACCCGAATATATATATTACTATTATTAAATACACGGGCTTCATAATTACACGTGAAATCTTAAGCCCTAATTTGAAAGCAACTAAGCAAGACTTGTGATAAGCTGATTAATATGACTGATGGAAAACTTAATAAAGTGTTTAATAGTTCAGGAATTACCAAAGGCAAATTTGAATTGGTAAAAAAAAAAAATGATGTACTCAAAATATAACACGTAATTTTCCATACAATAATTATGAATAGGTAAGAAAAGGTGTTTTATTTTTTTAATTTCTACTAATATTTTTACTAAAAATGATTATACTTGGAATAGGTAATAAGTACCTATTTCGTTTAAGAATAAATAAATTATATTTTTGATTTTTTATGGTGTGGTGTTAACATCTTCTTCAAACTTTACCCCAATTTGTTTTCTCAATTCATCCAGTATCTCTAGAACAATATAACTATTGTTCAAAGTAACCGTTGGTGACTCAATTAAACCTTAAAACAAAAAAATTATATAAATTCATTAAGTCCAATAAACATGTAGAGTAATTTACATTAATTATCAAACATAGATAAATACTCAAACCTTTTTTCAAACATTGTCTAACATGTTCTATTTCGTAACGCAACTGTACACTGCTTGGAAATAGTGTAGGTTTTCTTGTGACTGGTTGTATAAATTCATAATCGTTGTTGTTAACCGTTACTTTTTTCGAAGCGTTCAATGGTTCATGTAACTAAAAGAATTAAACACATTGGCATTGCTGTTTCTATTTTTTTTTTATAAATACCTACCAAATATAGAAGTTAAATTATAAATATTGAAGGAAATTAGATTATGGGAGACTGGATTTATCTTGTTCCCACCCAGTGATAGCTTTGTCAACTTTTTCACGTATTCAAAATTGACACACACAATGACCACCCTCTTGGGATTTTCTCAGTCCCCAAATGACACATACAAATTTAATCATGTTTTTTGTCACATATATATGTATATTATACAAACATAAACATAATACCATTGATTATAAATATATTGCATTTACAATCAATGATATGTATATTTTGTTCCCCAATACCTAATCAAAACTATTGAGTAGCTATAGTACACATACGACATACGCAAAGACATTTAAGAAATTTAGTCTAGAATAGAATAAAAGACACTTAAATTACTAGCTTGTTATGTGATATTATATTTTAATGTAACCTATTTTTTATAATTAATAACAGAGATAAGAGACAGTTTGATAAAGTCCGAATTTATATTCTCTTAAAAAACCTAAAATATGATGTTAATATTCTCTTAAAAATTATAAAACATTTAAAGAGACTTGTTACTATCACAACATTTTCATGTTTTAAATTTGCCAGTTTTTAACGTAATTTTTATTTAATGGGTATTCGGGAAATAAAATTATTAAACAGAAACAGAAATGTTTGAAAATTTAACGTAAGGTCTAAAAAACAAATTTGAGTTTAATGCGTCAGTTCAACAGCGTTTTTAGATCATATGATCTAAAATCTGTTAACGAAAATCGTAATAATTACGGCATTTCAAAATATATCACTGAACTTAGTTCCGAATCGTTTTTTGTTAGCAATGGTTGATCGTTGCGTACGGTAGGTATACGTACCTATACTTCTTTGGTATATAGACTGTGGCTAGTGATAATCTACAAAAGATTACAAAACATTGGAAAAACTGGTTCATAAATAAACATATATTATCATTCCATTATTGCTTTAGATATTTTGTTATAAAATATCTAATATATTGAACAGGAATACTCAGAAAATTAATAGAATTTATCTTTGATACACTTGTTCTCTGTTCTATTTTTCTGGCTAACGTCTAACACTCCAAGCCACACAATATAGTCAGTCTCACAACACTTTGGTAGAACTTAACTGAAGTCTCATTGGAATTCTTTTGTTACATAAAACAACTGACGCTTCTCTTTACTTGATCTAAATATACTGTGTTTCACATTCTAAACAAAACCACAGTTGATTTATATAAGTAAATTGGTATTACTTAAAACTATCAACTTCACCTATTGCGTCACCGTTTATTATTATAACGCTGTTTTACACTATTCCTCTAAACTTTTATTCTGTTTTGCTTCTAATTATTATCAGCCCCTTTCTTTTAAGTGCTACTTTACATTCCTCAAGTGTATTGTTAACTTATTCCAGATTTTATTCTATTGAAGCTTTATTATCTATCAACATCATGCACCATGGTACCTCCCCTCTCACCTGTTGTCCCCTTGTACATCCGAAATGGGACAATCTGCCAAGGTCTACTTTAGAACTTTTAATAATGTTTGGAATAATTATACACCAGCTGATGACCTGACACAATTCCATTTGTCTCCTCTTACGACAGGTGCCGTGGAAGTATTCTGAACCTCTCCTACAGGGAGATAATAAATAAATACGTAATTTTGTATTCGTAGCAAAACTCAATAAATTATTAAATTTAGTCTTGTTTTAAATAATTTTTAAATAGAAAATGATTTTTCTATAGATGCACTGGTTACTGGAAGAGTTAATGCTGTAAGTAGACTTGCATTTTATGTTGAAAAAATACCAGATAATCTTGAAATGTTTTGAATATTGTAATATTATACTTTTTATTAACCGTGTTAACTGAAATGATACAATTGCTATGATATAATAAATTAATTATTTAGTTATGCCACTTGCAATAAACTGGTCAGGATGTATTCAATTGTATCCAAGCTCTAAGAAGATATCCCCTTCCCTATATTTAAAGGTGTTGTTTGAGGAACATCTTAACCCTAAGATAGTCGCCATCTGTCCCTACGCATTTGACTGCCTCTGTCATGGTGTGCAGTATTAGTGTGAAGTAGGATTTTTTTTCTGAATGCCTTTATATATATCTTATTAGTAATTATTAATTACATAACAATGATGTATGTATAATGTATATTGTACACCAGTGACATAGCGAGGAGAATGTGTTGGTGTTCAGACACCCACCTTTGACTATATTTATGCCGAAAATTATAACTGTTACTATATTATACAGTTATGTGTCAGATTTCTACAAGATGTGTTGTGTAACGCATAGATAATTATTAAGTATAATATGTTGTGTGTTTGTTACATGCGCACAATAAGGTTACAAAGTTACATTTAAATACAAAATAAAAACACCCCCTTAAAAAAATCCTGGCTACGCCACTGTTGTATACAATATCATCATAAACTCATTTTTAACTTCTGAGAATATTATTATTAAATTTAATTACGTTAATAAATAATGTATTGTTTTTAAGAATTACCTTTATTGTTCCGTTAGTACCATATACGTAAGCCGAACAATCCATTTTCACTTTAGTGTGTGTAGAGATAACGGCTATTTTCCCTTTTGGATACTTGAGGATAGCAGACATATTTTCGTCTGTGCCGTGGCTGTTTAATATTCCTTTCGATACTATGGACTCAGGTTTACCGGGCCCAAAAATTGCGTTAACCAAATGTACGGTATATATACCAAGATCCAGTAAAGATCCACCTCCTACTTCCTTCTTCCTGAAACACAGATAGGTACAAAATATAAACACACTTAAGACTTGACATTTCCTATATTCTCATGCATAAAATCCAGTTGTATACATTTTAAATACTCGGATTTTAGATTCGGAGCATATAGTGAGTGATTAACTGATTTTACTATGAATTGTACATTTTTTTAGTCTGTCAACAACTTTACGACCATAAAACAACCAAACGACAAATGACTATTTCTGTGGCATTTTGGATTAAATTAGTGCATTAAGGAGGTCATTTTTTGATTTTCCAAGGGATTCGCATAATAATTGGGAAAAAAATTATCGGAAAAGCACACAAATATTTACGGGGCATCGCGACATTATCAATTTGTACGCATTATGTTTTCTACCCAAAATCATGCTTAAACCAAAGATGCTAAGAGACCTTTTTTTGTCGCTTTTTTAATTTAGGCGTTGATTAAGTAGGCATTTAGTAACTTTGGACTTTTGAATAGTTTTCATAATATATAAGAAAAGCCGGAAAAATACGTAAAATTAAAATTGATAAATTTCATTATTATTACATTTGTACGGTTTTTGTTTTCTACCAGAAATGTTGCTTAAATCGAAAATTAACATACGACTTTTTTTTGTTTCATTTTGAATTTAGTTGGTGAGTGTGAAAGTTGTTTTTCATTTTAGTTCAGTTTTCTTAATAATTGAGTCAAACCAAAAATAAATGTAAAAAGAACGGGAAAGTTTACGGAATAATGGTTTTATTATTTTCAATTTTGTTTTTTATTGTAATTTAGTTAAAATTACTCGTAGTCTCAACATTTTAAAATGCCACTCATTTTTTCGTTTTTTAGACGTGGTCAAAATTTCAAAGTAATTTTAAAATACTTCTGAGTTTTTTATATACAGCTATTTTATATATGTAAGTTTTTTTACATAGCTTTTATTATTACCTATTGGATAAAATTGTTTAACTAAACAAAAAATTTAACATGAAGTACATGAAGTTAAAATATAAGTTATGCTTAGTGGTCAAATAAAAAAGTAGAATGTAATGTAGTATTTTTTTTTGTACATAAGTTTTTTGTTTAAAATGTTGACGAACATAAAGGCATTTCACTCAGAATTGTTTTTTATTAGCAATGGTTTATCGTTGTTTACAGATATAAATTAAATAACTTTACCAATAACCTTCTCAAATTTCTACCAACAACAGTGGCATATCCGTCCCCAGTATCAGATATTTTTTTTGTTTGCAATTTAGCATTTAATGTTATAAAATAATTTGTGTAATATTCCAAATAGCATTAATATCAAAACAAATAAATTATTTGATATCGTATAGTTTTATAATTTAATGATTTGAGTACATAATTATTTTACCAAATTCGTTCGACATTCGATATAGGTATACCGAAGTTGGCCTGTACGTTTAAAACTTCACCAATAGTACCATTTTGTATTTCTTCGAGTACTTTTTGGAATGCTGGTGTAAAATAACTCCATAAAGCTTCCATAAGAAATAATTTTTTTTCTTTTGACATCTAAAAAATATAATTTAATATTTATAATTCGTTATAATAATGATCAGACTTTTTAATTGTTACTTAAAGTTAACAAAATTTGTTACCTTTATTAATTCATCGAGTTGTTTCGCATTGATACAAAATGGTTTCTCGCATAATACGGGTTTGCCGCTCTCAAGCATAAGTTTTGTCAACGAATAATGTTGATGGTTAAGAGCACCGATATAAACAATATCTTTAACATAGTAATAAACAAAGTAATTTAATTCCTAGCATACATTTTAATATAGTTTAATATACAAATTGACAATAACGGGTTCAAGGGGGGCCCAAGTTCCCTCTTGGCAGTTATATTATATTTTTAGTTGTAATAATATGAGTTAATAATGATTATAAATCGTCGTTCTAATTGCGGTTATACCAATTATTGTGAATAATGATAGTCGATAAAATTGATACTTGATTGTAATCTCATTTGTATTTTATATTTAGTTTTCATTGTTCAAAATTAATATTGAAAATAATGTTGCCCCCAGCCCAAAAATAAAATCTATATCCGTCCCTGCAAAGTGATATTTAATAAACATAATATAATGTACATGATATACAGAATGATTCACTAAACGTGCTCACTTCATCTGTTTGGATCAGTTTTGCATACATTCAAATTATGATTTTTGGAATTATAGATTCTGAGTGAAGTGAGGAAGCTTATAGTTTTACAAAGATGATTTTTTTTTTCTGTGCACAACTTTTCTACCAGTAATTTTGCTCCAACTCATAATAATAACAATGTTTCTAAAAGGAAATTTTACTAAAGAGGTACTTTAAAGGGTTAATTTTTCGATGGAAAAATGTAGAACACTGGGAAAATTGGTACAACATTAGACAAATATTATTAAAGATAATAAAATCTATTTAATTATTTTTTACTATAAAATAACATATATTGTTGACAAAGTATCATTATCAACTGAATTCCGCTAAGAATTGTTTATGTGTAAACAATGGTTTATTGTTGCTTACAGGTATGCATTAAATCTATAGTTTATATATATATATATATATATATATATATACTTTACTATAAATTACATATTCTTTAACAGTGGCTGCAACCGTCCCCATTATCCTATGACGTTTTTTTAAGTATATAGTTAAAGCCGATATTTTTGAAACTTAACATTACAACGTTTAAGGAGTATCTTGTGGTGATACCAACTTTGGTTTTTAAATGAGAACCTATATTGAAAATTTCATAAATAGACGAAATATTACTTTAAACACATATTTATGTCAGCATTTTTGATTTCCGTCAACCCATTAACGAGATATTCCACTTTTAAGTTTAAGTAGGGAGGAATAGTGAAGAATCTATGTATTTAAAAATATCGGCTTTAATACTTAAAAATTCCAAAAATCAAAATTTGAATACATGCAAAATTTAACAAAAAAAAATGAGGCGAGTACGCTTAGTATATCATCTTGTAGGGATATGGTACTATATACATATACAATTTTTACCTACCGACATTAGGATCGTTTCCAAGTTCCTCGTATGTACCGTAGTACGTAGGAATTCCATGATCATCGGCGAAATCTTTTGCCCTTGATTTATCTTTTGCAGCTATGGCTACTACTTTATGATCTCCGGCCGACAGTGTTTCTAAAGCTAGAACGAAATCATAGGAAATTTTGGACGCACTCAATATTCCCCATTTTGTTGCCATAGTTCCTGCAGTCAACAATATTTAATATATTTATATATTGAGATCATATATTATTCTATTGAAATATTATGTCGGTATGTATTTAACAAACTACTAAATATGAGACAGGCGTCACAATAAGATTGAAAATAGGAAAAATTATATCTCCACGATGATAGGTAATTTAGAACATAAAATTTTATAAATAAAAATAGTCTAATAGATGACACTACGATAGTATCGAATTTCCATTACTAGTACACAATATATCTATTAGACAAAAGTAATTCGATTTTTCGAAAAAGGTTTATTTACCTACTTAATATTTTTGAACCTCTAAATATGTATATCGTATATACTATATATCATTTAAACAAATTCAATATCGACGAGTTGTATACTTGTATACCTACTTAATTATTTAAATTATAATAATCTTCTACAATCAAGGGTTGGAATTACAAACAAATTAAGAAACTGAAATGTATATAATTATTAATATAGGTACCTATATCATGCATATACGACATAGTAAATAATTAAAGGGATTCTGAAAACAAGTAAAACAAAGTACAAACGCTACATTTTTTCAGTAGGTACCTAAATGGTGGCTAAATATAAAATGACAGAAACTATATTATGTGACGAGCACATTGTTTTTTTTTTAACTGTTGATATACCGATACACCTACATAGGTAGGTACAGTTAATTAACTATTAATGTTTGTTTCTAACTTCATTATTAATTTATATTATTTTAGATTCTCAGAAAAGTGACGAATTTTATTAGTTTTGTAATAATGTTTATATTTTGCAAGTTCAAAATCGAGATAGAGTTGAACATATCTGAAAAGTTTGATCTGGAATCCTTATAGATTTTTTTCTATAGAAATATAAATAGATAAAATTCTATTTGTATCTTTACCAAATCTCCAATATAATATTTTTTTATAAGATGTTTCATGTTGACTTTTAAGAAAATCAATTATTTTTTACAACTTCGATGTTTTACAAAATAATCGAAATATCTAAATACGAGAATACAATATCATATAATTAACATCAAATTTTGTTTTAATAATTGAAGTCTATGTTCTTTAATACTGTTGAATTTATTGGTTTTTTATAATAAATACACATACTAAAATTATAATAACTTACTAACTTAACCTATCAAAATATTGTGATACATCAAATATATATTTGTCAAATAACAACCAAATGCTGGCAGAAATAGTTTTTTTTTTCTAAATTATATAAATTTTGCTGCTATCACTTTCAATAAAAAATAATTTAAATATTCGTTCCATCCTACCAGCCCTGCGATAATCTAACCTTGAACAAAGCACCTCAATATTTTTAATACAAAGCATGTTGATAGTTCAAAAATCACCAACACCATTTACATTTACATTTAACAGCAATATGCTAAGTGTCTCATGAAGTATCCTATTACGATATCTCTTGAAATAATAAAGATAATAATTAAGATAAATTATGACTTAAAAAGAGATGACTATAAATATTTATATTTTAATTGAATTCATGTATGAATTCACATTTTTTGGTTTCAACTTTTGGGTTTTATTAACTTCATGATTTTTAGTAGTTTTTTTGATTTACCTACAGACAAATAATAGAGTAGGTACCTATTAAACATAATGGTATTTTGGTATTACTCAAAATGTATTATTAAACAAAACTTATCAAAAAATAAGATGAGGTGATTTCAAAATACTACTACGGTATTAAATTATACACTATTTTTTTCGGAACTAAAACTATAGTGAGAATCTCAGCATACGAATGCGGAGTAAATTAAATAAATTAATAGGTACTTACTAATAGATGTTACCTATATAATCTTAAATCACCGATTTATGTTGCAAAAAACTATACGAAGAACTAGAGCACTATAACAGTAATAAATATAATATTAAGTAATACGTAAGATCGAAATGGGTTTGTTGACTATAGATATTAAGAAATTACTAAAAAGAGAAACGAGTATTATCATAGATAAGAACTTCTTATTAAACAATTTTATCTCAATCAATATTATATTAGTATAAATTAGAATGTTTTTTTGTTAATTACCCATTGACCTGGCAAATGTAGGTTTATCGTTTGTTGAGATTATACCGAGAGTAATGTGGTGTTTTGAGCGTATAAGAATGCATAAATATATATAATGAGGTAATAATATCAGTACATTGTTTCTATTCGTCAACTTATAATGGTTATATTATGATATGTTATATGATTTTACAGTGAAATTTTATATTATTTTAAATTAACATGTTACTTCATGCTCGAGACTTGTGTTTAATTTTCAAATTATAATTTAATTACCTTAACAAAGATTTGAGATATAGGTAACACCTTATCATTTCGCATTGAATTATCGTTCAAACACTTTCAATTACGAGTAGGTAAGAGATGAATGATAAATAAACACGAAATCAACCGAATTATACTCCTATATACCTTATAACCATTCTTCTAGATTCGAGTTTTTATAGATCTTTATATTTTAATGGTCTTTAGAGCGATATAGTTATTGCGAATCTTCATAAATACTTCTGCGCTGTTGTCAGGCCATGACGGCGAATTTGGACTAAAGTGGTAGATTTTTAATATTTGGGAAAAGGGTCGGAAGAGAAGAATAAGAAAGATAGATATTTATTATCTTCGGTCTCAGGGAAAAAGTGCTTCATTCTATTTTTGACATTTGTTTTTATAAATTTATCTTATGCATTTTTCTTTCTTTTAAATTTTGATCCAAATAGCATACGTATATGTATAACACATGTTATACTGAAAATTAAGATAGCTTAAGTCGCTATAATGTACCTTTTGTATAATTAAAAGGCATGTCATGTTAGTAATTATATGGATTTGGTAAACCATTTAAAATTCCAGCATTTAGGTTAGGTCATTTAGTAATTATACTATTAAGTTATTTTAAGAATTTTCAAAATTGAATTTGTGTTTGTATTGAAACTTATGCAACATCGCCTTTCTTCCATGGGACCAAATACCCATACATTAATTGTATTTAATGAAGTGGAAAATTAATAAACTTTATTAAATACGAGTTTTTTTATTTTAATTAAAAATTTTTTATTTTCATTTATTTACAATCTATAAAATAAGTATAATCAGTAAATCTGATAGCTAAATTTTACAGTAACATTGATGTTGGAATAGGAATGCTTCCAGCAGTATCACCAGACAAGTTAAGGGATATTCTTAGGTATATTTATCGATAAATAGTAAATAATTTTAAATACTATAAGGGAGGTTATTATTAGTAACATACATTTTAAACTTATAAATATATATTGCTCAACTTGCAAATAACCAATTTTGTGTAGACGTAGTCTACATTTAGAAGGTAGGTTCAATTTTAAAACAACTCATAAGGACAAAATAATATTTATACATGAGATCAAAACTTAAGTACAGCTATAATAATAATAATAAATAATAATTAATAGTATTATACATGAACCGTTACAATATTGAATGATGGCAAATATAATACATTATGATTAAGCGTTCGGCATTGAATATGTTTGAAAAAAAAAATCATTGTATTACAATACAAAACGACTCGATTAGATGGCGTGGAAAAATAAAAATAATCGGTTTAGAATTTCAACAGGAGATGTTTTCGGTGAGAGCGGCCGGCGAACACATTGCTATGTCGTCGCCAGAGCCGCTGCCACCGTCTGGGTCTGGGGCAGTGACGGCACCGGTATAGTCTTGAGCCGGTGACATTGGCGCCGGACTGCAGACTGATGACGCCCCGGACGACGGGCTGTGCGGTTCGGACGACGATGTCTGCACGGAAGCGGCTGCGGCTGCCGCTGCGGCGGCCGCGGCAGCCGGCCACGATTGGTTGGCGGTAATTATCCGCTGTGACAGGGCCTTGTGCACGGGCGATTGGTAAGATGACGACGGTGGCTGGGCCGCGTGGTGGTGCCACGGCAGGCTAAGTAGGAACGCAGACGCGGCCGCTGGATTGAACACAGCTAAATTGGGCCAAAATTGATCGGGCGTCAGCGGAAATGGCAGCGGTCCTCCCATCGCCGGAGGCGGCAAACACTCGTTCCTGAACACTACACAGATACCATAATTAATCATTATAATATACCATATTCAGAAATTATAAAGTACATTTCACCGTCCCCTCTCCCATTCCAAAAATTCAAATTTGTTTTATGTCAATGTTTAAGCATGCAGTATAAACATAAGTGTATTGTACGACCGGTTTTGAATTTAAAAAAAGAGCTGATATTGGGAATGGGAGTGGCCACTGTTGTAGATGAGAAGTTGGGAAGGTAGGATACATAAGGTTATTTCATTTATATCTGTAAGTAACGATAAACCATTGCTTGACGAAAGGCGATTCCGAGCGTAGTTCGGTAATACAAAATTTGAAGTGCCGTAATTTGTTTTTCGATTTTCGTTTAAATTAGATTTCAAAACGCTTAAAAAAAATAAAAAATCGTTCGATGACTTTGGAAATTTTACCACGTCTAAGTAAATCCAATATAAGTATTAATGCCAAGTTGCAAGTATCTACGTGTATTTATAACCGAATAACAGCAAAAAACCTCCCAAAAATTTAAATCTCTTAAAAACTCAAAAGTGGCTCAAAATGTTTGGCGATGATACCGTAAGAATGCAAATCAAAAAGGTAACAAAAATGGTATCTTGTGATTTTTTGATTATATCATTTTTTTTTTGTTAGAAAACGTCGTCCGTGTTTTTATAAAATAATGAAATCGTGAAATTGTACATTTCCCTAAGTTTTTTCCTACTTAAGTGCTTTTATTTAAAAAATAGCATCAAAAATCAAAAGATGACATATTTTTAAAGTACCATCTAGACAAATTGAGTTCTCAGAAAAAGTGCTACAATTATATATTGGACCAAGTTTACTAGAAAAAAATGTGTCTATAGTCTAGAAAAAAAAATAAATAGCATTGTTAAACCAATAGCTCTCTCATTACGCATGAAATCTAAAATTCATCATCTGGTATATCATATTCAAAATGTAAAACGCGACTAAATATAAAAAATTAAATGAAGGAAATCTTTTATTCTCAAAAAATATAATTTTTTAGCTCAATATTCTACAGGCTTGAATGTATTCCATTAAATAAACATAATTATCAACACGATCTCAATATTATCTATAATATAGCCCTGTAATGTAACTGTAATAAATTTTATATGGTTAAGACAAATAGACATTTTAAAATAAGATATAAAGAACACATTTCTGAAATAAAATTAAAAAAGACTGTCCCTAATTCAAATTTCACTAAACATGTTTTAGAAAATAACCATAATATAAGTTTTGACATTAATACAGACTTAGAAATATTAACTATCCAAAATAATTTTAACATAAATTCAGTTTTAGAAGAATTACACATATACAATGTATTAAAGAAAAATAATTTTAATAATATTTTAAATGTTCAAATCGATTTTAAAAATATATAACTAACAAATCTATGTTTAATAATAACTAATTTAAAATAATCTCTCCTGTAAAAATTAATTATTTTTATTTTTTATGCGAAACGACCAATTTGTACAATTTTCTTTTTCTATGTATTCCTTCATTTAATTTTTATATTCAATCGCGTTTAACATTTTGACATCTGTGATATGCCTGATGATAATTTTTTTATTCGAAACCAGTCGTATAATACACTTATAATAATACACTAGGTGACTATAATCTCATGATTATATTGCTATTTTTTTTTTATTTTGACGTTACAACGATATTTTGTTTGATATCGAGAATGATGTATAGGCATCAACGTGAGCAGGGGGACGATAGGAGGCTATACTTTTCTTATTTGTTTAAAAATACAACAATTCCATAATTTTATTTTAATTGGATATTTGTTAAATAATTTTATCTTCAATATATATTACAGCCAAGTTAAAATGATAGAAACATGATTTATTGAATTATTGTTTTTTTTTTTTATCCGGATTTTAAAATCCATTGTTGAGTTAGGTATAACAAAAGAAGTTTGTACAATTTACAATCATGAATCGTGATTATTATTCACTGCATCCACACCCATTGAAAGTTCCTGGGCACACCACTGCGTATAGATGTACCTAATATGAAATCAAATACAATTTTATTTTATTAAGACGCCCTCTAACGGTTTTTCGTAGGTTTTTTTTAGTTTTAATACCGCCGTGATAAACTAATGAAATATTAGGCATAACGCTGCCAGAAAACCGCTTCACATTTGAAGGCGTTAAATAAGCCACCCATCACCCCCGTGCCTATATGAAAAATAATGATTTTTTTTTTTAACGGCAGATGGTAATTCGTTAATCGTTAATAACACTAATGGTAACGCCGTTTTAAATCTAAAAGGAGGTGGGAAATTTCCAATACATTATAGTTTTCAACCTATATTATTATGGGTATCATAGCGTTCATTTGAGCATTAAAATATATTATATACGTCGTAACCCCAATAATAATAATAACAATAATAATAAGCTATTGTTAAAAACCACGTTAGAATAAAATTATATTAAACACGAGTATTCGAATTGGATACTCCTATATTTTAATTAGGTTGTTTCGGTCTTAATCGGTCCAAAATTATTTTTCTTTTATCGATCGTATGGATTATATATATATATATATACACGAGTGGCGAGTATAAAGTTTTGAATGATCAATATTATATAAAGATTCCGATCAAAATCCGTGATTTATTAGTATGATTACTATAATTATTGTGAAATATCATACAGGTACCTGTCATTGTATAGAAATAGTTTATATAGCAGGAGTACCTGCCTATTAGGTTTACCGGTAAGTGGAACGAATTGTATTTTAAATTCCGACTATTTGCTCCAACATTTATAACAATTATAATAAAGTTATCAAAATAATTTAGACCCTTATATTATACAACGGACATTGAACTTACATGTGTGATCAGGAATGTATGGATTTGATTCTCTGCCCATTGATTTTTCTCGTTTTCTCCATTTAGCTCTACGGTTTTGAAACCATACCTTAATAATAATAATAAAAAAATAAAACAAAACAACCATTATAATATGTATTATGTACGGCACGCATGCACTATGCGCAAGACATTATATTATTATGTATTGGTTTTATAATAATTGAAAAGTATTTATAAAAACAGCTTAAAGAAAAAGAAAGTAAAGTGATTTTTTTTCTTTCGAAATAATAGGAGTTTTACATGAATTGTTTTTAAAATTGTATTTTATTATTTTTATTCTTACGATATTAAAATAATAATATAATAAGTTAATTGTCGGAATTCATTATTTCTTTAGTAATTTATATAGTTTCCTTAAAAATACAATAATACTCTGTGATCTGGAATGAATAGAAAAATGTTCTCGTAATTTTGTATTTGTTAGTTATTAAAATTCTGATGAATGCATTTTAAAGTTCAAAATATGGGATTAAAAATTAGATTTGTATTATTTATCTGTCAATTTATAAATTAGTACATTCTATATCTATTTCTCAACAACCTTATAATAAGATTCTTAATTAGATGATATTAAACAGTATAACAATTATAGCCCCTACACTAGATTTTAATTTTTTGTCGTATTTTCTCCGAAAATAGAGACTATTGCAGTTTATCAACTGAATTATTTTTATATATTCCCCCCGCTACTTTTGTGCATTACTGGTGGGTCCATTTGGATCAAATGAGCTCAAACTCAGAAATTGGCGTTCTTTTATAAGAGGATTGAGGTGACACACGTTGAGTTGAATTTTAATATACGAATTGAATGAATATGAGGGTTTTTCTAACCTTTAAATATCATTACAGTATGTCCAAATGAAGCCGGAGGAATCTTATTTTATATAATATGTAGAATGCATTAGATCAAAGATGTGTCTTTTGAGGGTATATAACTTTCAACCCCCGTCCCCACCATTTTTGTGTTCAATTTCGTCATTTTTTTTTTTATGTAGTACAGTTATAGTCAAGGCCGTAATCAAAAATTAATTTCGAGGGGGTGGGGGGGGGGTGTTAAAACTTAAAATATGCGGTGTTCTAATTTTATTGTAATATCGTGTATGTAAATAATTTACCTATAATATAATATCAATTATTGATATAGTAGATAAGTAGAATAATATAATATGAACAATTTCGGCGGAGGGGATTAAACTCCAAACACCCCTTCCTCCCTCAGGTACAACTTTGATTGTATTAATATAGTATAGTATTGTATTGCTATATAATTTTCGGTTATTAACTATTGTTCAAAAATGTTCTACAAAGAATATTTCTATAATGCAAAATGGGCGGGGGAAGGAAATTCTGACTCCAGTAACGGAAAAAGTACGGCCGTACTACTCGTACATGATAATATATAATACACGGGTAGATTATTCCTCAATTACGTACATAGAAACGGATAAACTTCATTAAAATACGAAGTTCTTGGCCGTAGGACACGAACGGTTGCGTCGGAGATTGTTTATTGCGCGTATAATAATAATAATAATAATAATAATAATAATATGTATCATAATTAATTTAGTTTGGCTTAACGGCGCGTGTGCTTGGAAAAGAAATAATAGTTAAGAGGGTAAGTATATATATATATATACACATATATAAAAGCGTATACGCGGAGAGAGAGAGAGAGAGAGACGGCGAGGAAAAAAAATCCTTTTTTTATTGGCCAGGTTAAAATATTGACAATACACTTAAAACGCGGAGTTTAATAATAAACCGGTGGAAGTTTCGGCACCCAAAGGCCATTGTAGGACGGCGGCAACAACGGCGTCGGCGTCCGTCTATGGACCGTCGCGCGCGGAGGAGGGTTAATGCTCTCTATTTGGACGTCCGATTGGGGTTGATTGTGCGAGCCGCGTGCGTACGAGAGGGTGTGTGTGTGTTGTGCAATACAATGGGGACTCTCCCCGTGCATATAGACCGCGCCGCGAACAATGCACTTAAATGATCGTTAGGAAATTAGAGAGATGTTAAATCGGTTGTCGAGAAATTGCACCCCAATTAACTTGTAATTCATTATCGGGGAGCCGGCGCGCCGCCGGGTTTTAAGTCCATCTCAATTGGTTTATTGAATCGTTTAAAGAGCGAGACAATCGACGGCCTAGGCAATAGAGAAAAAGAGTAGAGAGAGAGAGAGAGAGAGAGAGACAACGCGAGTGAGAGTGAAGGAGGGAGTAGAGATAACACGTATATAAACTGGGGATTTTGTATCCTCACTCTCTCTCTCTCACTCACTCACTCACTCACTCACTCACTCACTCACTCAATCTTTTTTTTTCCTACCGTCTTTGTGTCCGCTAAGTGTTCTGCGGTACACAATTAGCGCGGTGTTTTTGTGTGGCTGTAAAGCAATAATAAAAAAAAAAATCTATTAATCTCCTTCCATTGTTTTCGACTGCTTTCGGAATTATTATTAAGTCTCGCGTCGCTATATACGACGTGGTGGATTTCATAATTAAGCTGTTACACGCGCGATTCCGGAACAAAAGTATAATAGTATATAATATTGCAGTCATCGTATACGCGAGTAAACCCCTATATATACGCACAATTAAGGGGACCCGAAACGGAACCCCGAATTGGCGACCGAAAAAAGAAGAATCGTATATGCCATTATATTATAATATTGTATTTTTAATTTCGAACCCGTAAAATTACGTCGTACAGGTACATCTGCACATTACCACCGTTAAAAAGACGAACGGGATTGTTTTACTATCTACGGCTATTATAATATGCATACTAATATTGGTTATTGTATAATCGATTTTATATTGCTGTTCGCCATATAATGTTGTACTATCTACCCAATTAGTACAATAATTACAATATTTTATTGTTAAATAATAGATTGTAAAGCGGCGCTGTATTCGTACGGCGTCTATAGATGTGCAAATGTAATTAAATTAGAATATGAATATGGTTTTCGAAATCATATTTCAATTTAACAAAGGATGTCTAATAGTGTCTACAATAAATTTCCTCACTCGATTCTACATAGTATTTATTTTTACATAAATTATATTTGATAAACGTAAATATTCACTATACTGTAACCCTGATTGTGTTACAAAATATTGCACAATCAGGGGCGGATCCAAAAATTCTTCATGGGAGGGGAGCGTAGAGCAAGATTTACGATAACGCTATGCGAGCTAGTATGTGCCACAGAGGGGAAAATACCGCTCCATTTGATTCGCGTCTGAACACAATATTATAAAGAGAATTAAAATTTGTTTTTATAATTATTCGGTTAAACTTATAATAATCAATTCTATAAGTTTAATATTATTTAAAAACCAATATAATAACTTTAATCGCAATAATTATTATTTCCCATCTTAAACGGCACGAAGAATTTTACCTGTACTCTGGCTTCACTGAGATCCAGTCGCAAAGCGAGTTCTTCTCTGGTAAACACATCGGGATATTGAGTTTTCTCGAATGCTCTTTCTAATTGATGCAATTGGTACGTGGTGAACGTTGTTCTACTGCGTCGAACTTTGCGTGGTTTGTCCTCTTCATGTTCATCAGATCGATGTAAAGATGAGTCAGTCCCACTGGCGGCATATAAAGCATCCAATTTGGATTGACAATGAACACTGGTGTTATCTGTGAAAAAAATTGTTGAATTTAAAGATTATATAACTGTTATAGTATACATAGCATAAACAAACAAAAAATTAAATTAAAGATAATTATAGTAAAAAAAAATAAGAATAAGAATATTATTGTAGAGATTACATGTTATAGACACGTGTTATAAGTAGATTTTACTTGTTAGCTAAAACGTATTCCATTTCAGTGTAATCGCTCTTTTATGTTCGTCGTCAGTGATGGATGAAACCAGTTAGTTTATAATACACTGTGTAGAATAATAAATCGTTAAAAACGAATAAACAATTCTGAGCAGAGTAGTACATATATATATATATATAAATAGTTCTTCCTTGTTACCAAGGTAACCCACAAATCAAGAAAAATTTATCAAAACAAATTTCCGTTTTTCCCAGAAGTTAAGAAATTACAACGAAAATCAAAAAATGATCGCGCCTCAAACTAGACAAAGTTGAGATTTATTTAATTATTTTGACAAAAATTGTAAATATTGTTACGACATTTAAGAACCGAATTTCGTTCAGAATCGTAATTAGTTAGCAATATTTTATCGTTGCGTACAACTAATAAAAATTAAGTCCCACAACTTCTCAACTATAACAGTGGCACACCCATCAGCATTCAGCAGTGTCAGCTTTTTTTCTTTTTATACGAGTATATTTATTTAACTGTTTTGTTACAGATTTAACTAATCGTCATCGTTTATGTCGAGAGAGAAAAACACGTGAAACAACGAGAAGGTATCCATGTGTAAAACAACTAAAAGAGCCGTCATTGACTGTTATTGCCGTCGTATTATTATACATTACGAATTACGATGATATTATAATATAACGTGGGCTTATTACCATGATATTGTTGTGCTGATGTTCTCTTGCGGGGTCCTGTTACCCTATTCGGTTTATTATTATTATGTAGTACGAGGGGCGCGATTGACATCGTCGCGGTATAATAATATATACGCTGATACTCCGCGGGTCCGGAGAAAAGGGTTGACGAAAAAAAAAAAAAAACAAAAAATTCGCAACAATCTTGCCTATAGTTATTATTACAGAATATCTGTAATTGTAGAACTTTGGTCCCGGGGAAAATGGGCTTCAGTCAATATCGTATATGAGTAGTCAAATCTATTAATTTTCATTATCACCGACTATGTCGGTTCACAAAAAAAGGGGGCCTTTCCCCCAAGCGCCGTACCGCTTATTCTTCGTCGTCCCCGGTCAATTGTTCCTCGCACCTCCCCCCCCCCGTATGAAACGTTGCTCCGGGTCGGAAACACAGTTGGCCTAAATGCAGTTAGGCGGGCAGGTACATACAGCGAACACGCGAACGGTATAAATAATAATATGCGATTTTTGCCACAGGTACCAGCTATACGCTGCAGATATTATACCGTCGGATACCTAATTACCTATATTGTGTGCGAATAAACGGCATTATAAGACCGTTGTTGGCTGCAGCATTTTGTTTATTATCATTATTATTATATATATTATATTATATACTAATAATCGAGCGTATTAAAACGGTCCTAAGCCGCTTATACGCGAGGTTTTTTTTTTTTTTTTTTATTTGTTTTGTTATTGCGCGTTGATTGTATAATGCACCCCTCGCGTCCCGCCGCCGTAAGCGTGTAATGTATGTAATAATCGGCTTACAAAATATTCGGTTTCCGAATCGCGTACGTATGCGTATCATGACGTGCAGCGCGCCGCTCTTCCGTCCCTGCAATAAACATATAGCGCACGTGTTTTATACGCGTATACACCTACGTATTTATATATATACACACATATACGTATATACGTATAGAACGTTTACGGGCGCATGTATACGTATAATATTGTACGCGGGTGTATGTGCGCACAGCGTATACGCGGCATAAATAATAATAATAATTACACGCAAAATATTATAATATTATAATATTTTATTTCCGACGGCGGCGTTTCGAAATGTCTGCGTGCGCGCAACAGATACGGAATGTACGTGCATACGTGTACGTACGTGGATACAAATCCGTTTTACACCCATTGTATACATGATAATATTATGTATAAAGGAGGCAGTCGGCGGGCGCGCCGGCGGTGTACCACTTGACGTCCGTTAAAATCCCATGTGTTTCTCCCGACTCTCCCCGTCCCTTCCGGATTTATAGTACAATATAGTATATACCTACCGGGTCGTGTCTTCACGGCCGCGTTGTTCAACTGTTATACACATAATATTATATATATATATAGCTAACCCCCTACCCCCTCCTCTCCACAACTAGCCCCGCGCACTGTGCAAGCTCCGACAGCCTTTCTCGCACAGTACGTATGATAATAACAATACGGGCATTAAACGCGGAAATAATAATATTTAACAACGCGCGCGCACACCATCCGCGAGTGCATGTAAAACATCGTTACAAATGATTAATACCTACATACGCGCATACAACGGAAAAATGAAAAAACCACGAGTAAACGCGTCCGTAATAACGTTAATGTTTTTCCGGAACGTAATATTATTCAGTTACGAAAAGTTCGGACGGCGTAACAGCCGACGTTTGTCTTTTGACAAGCATATATACGGGTATTCAGCGGCGGATCCGGATCTTTTTCAAAGGGGAGGGGGGCACGTTATTTATATTTTTAGTAAATTAACTATATAAATTACATAAATCAATACTGTAGTCCGTTTACAGGGGGGGGGCACGTGCCCTTGTGACCCCCCCTGGATCCGCCACTGCGAGTATACAATACTATATAACACGTATAGTAATATTCGTATAGTAATGTTCTCGCCATCCACCGCCGTTAGTCCGTTTATTTTTTTCAATATCCCGCCGTCGTTGTAGTACTAATGAAAACTATTTCCATATACATATACTACCATCATTCATTTGTACATCGTGGACAGGCCACCGATTTTTAGTAATAACTATATTACTGTGCAATAAACAATATGCATATCAAACAATGTTGAGTGTGAAAGAGGTGAACCGGTGAGCTGTTGAAAGTTTCAAAAAATGTCTTTAATAAAGTATCATCGGGTGAAAATTTCGCGCATTTTTGGTATCTGCGAAATGATATAATCCGAGCATTTTTACTAGAAAAAAATTCTAAGAAGTATAACGTATAACTAATATATCTAAAAAATAAAATTAAAAAAAAACCGGGAAAAAATGGTTGCAACAAGATATATGTTTATTTTGTGATTCAGTAAGAAGTAACCGTACACGCGAGTGACCTGCAATTTTTACCAATAATTTAGGTATGTTACCATATTTGTCTGGCCGTGGTAATGTGCAGTTAATATTACCAAAATATTTTGGCTTTTTCTCGAGTTGGGTATTTAATTTTACAGGACGACCGGTAGCTCTTTATTACCTTTATTGGCTATAATTAAACATTTTAAACCAATGATAAATAATCGAGTTTGAAAAACGACTTTGAGCAAAGCACAAAGGTGAGTATGTGTTTAAAATGCTTCGAATTATGTTTTTCAAAATAAATGGATAGGTATATTACTGTGTAGCTAAATAAACAATTTTAAGCAAATATACTAATTGCTCTTTTGGAGGTCGTAAGAATTAATGAAAGACGTTACCTACCTACTCTTTAGACGTTAAGATGGGCAAATAAATGAATAATAAACGAAATATTGTTCGATTGATGGTTTAGAGAATATTTGTTTGGTACTAGATTGAAAAAAAAAGTCAAAAAATAATATAGTATATAAGTATGTTAATTTGAAGTAAAGTAACATACTTATATACTATATGTATGTTCTTCAAATTTACATATGTTTTTATAAAAATAAACGTACCTACAATTGTAAGACTAACGTTGTTTTTTACACTAAACCGAACATATGTGTGTAATTACACAAAAAATATAAAAATATAACATAACACAGCTAGATAAATAATAATACAATATTGTATATTTTTTATTCATAGCGTTGAAATACATAATGTAGTTATAATCTGTATAATATATTATATAAATATGAAAATTATCTGTTTAATTTTTGGAAAATTAAAATTCATCCAATAAATAAATACGAATATACTATAGTTATATTATATTTATTATATAGTAAATAATAGGTATAATGACTAAGCTATCAATTATAAATATATATTTATTGTAAAATTTAAATTATCGTGTTAATTTACTATAGTTGCAAACTGGGCTTTTTAAAAATAAATACTTGTTTGTATTTTAGCCAGAAGTCACTGCATTTTTATGATATTTTATTGAGGTGCTAATAATAAATGTTGTATTTGGTTTGACCATTTACAAATTAAAATACATCTAATTCAAGAATAATAATTTGTAGTAGTTTTGGAAAAATAATTTTCCAACGAAAGCATATGAACTTTATGGACAATATATTGTTTTCAATACAAATATTTTAATAATTTCAAATAATATTTCATGTAAACAGAATCATTAATTATACTAGTATTAGTAATTATAATCAATATAGAATGTTAAATTCAAAATTCAAAATGTATTACGTATTAAAATATATTATGGTTTTGAAGTTTTAAACGTAAATGCATATGTACTACGTATTTATGTATCAACACATAATAGGTATTTATCGTATAATACTGCACATGAATAAGAGTATGACGCAGGTAATAATAATGATATAGGCGTGTACATATTATTCGACTTAAACTCATTACAGTATTAGGGTAGACTAATCAATAAACATAATATTGCTAATTGGGAATATAATAATAATTATTATTACGAACATTGGATACCCTTCGCGTACACATGTAGGGTCAGCGGCTATTTATTTTGACTTTTCTTCTTACATAGACATTTGCAGGAATTTGATTACTATAATGATTTCGAGGGAGGTAATGGACGCAATCGCCTATAATAAAAACGCAGGTGACATGTGCAAATTTTTATTTTCCGGAGTAAATAATTGAAATTTCGTGTATAATGCACTGTAGGATTTGACAATGCACCAATGTATGCGAATAAATAGGACACTACATGGTTACAGACCGAATTCAACTCATTATTACCATCATATTACGATGGCTTTATTTAAAATTTATTAAATTTTCGAAAAATGCGGATTTTTTTTTCTTTTCAACTTTATCGGTGCTTTTAAACTCGTGCCTAAATATTGATACGCGATACCTAGCAATACAAAATTACTTTATTTCATTTTAGTTTAGTTTTATTATATTATAATGTCTAAGTCTTCTCATTAATTGTACTGTTGGGCTTCTGCCCGTTTTATTTTTATTTTTTAATAAATCATTATTATTATTATTAAATTGTACACATGGTATATGCTGCATACCTATAATATTGTATTCATACGTTTTTTTCGAGTACCTATAATAATACTGTTGTCTTACCGTTTTTCGACGGAAGAGTAGTGCCGAGAATTTGATCGATGCTGTATACGTTCCTGGTCGATTTGGTGGTATCCATAATGCCGCGTGTTTTTTTTTTAAAATTCGTTATCACAATATTGAACCGACAACGACGACGACGCGCTTTTGAAACTGTATGAATACGTATAAGGGGAATCCGTGATCAGTGGTCTGGTCCCTGTATCACGTCCGTGACTACTGAATGACACATGGTTGTGTGGGTCCCGCCGAGTCGAAGGGACCGACCGGCAGGCGCGCGCTATCTCACCCCCTCCCTGCACGCGTTATTGCTCACGCGGCAAACCGCCGTTTGGGGTGGTTTCTGCCAGAGGGCGGATGCGCGCAGCCACGACCGCCAATCCCATTGGGCACGTCGCCCTACCCACGTGCCCTGCGCCCCGTATAATAACCACGCTAATGATTCTGGTATAAACGCGCGTTAATGAGAATAATATAATATAACAATACAATCCGATATAATATTTTTGGAGCATTTTTTTAAAAATTTTTTTTGTTTTACAAACGACAAACGAAGTATAATCGACCGTAATACGCCTAATACGAATTCTACGGTTTTTGTTACATACTATATTTATTATTATATATGTATATTATGTACGATTCACCATACCCGCAATTTCATTAGTTGATTGATTGTCTGTGTGATTTGTGCTAAACGTATAGTGTTATTTAGTAATAAACAAATAACATTATAAGAGTAATAACTTATTACTCTTTTAGACAATAATGTAAATTTCATTTTCATTGTTTAAGACGTCGAACAGTGTTTCAAAATGCGATAATCCCAGAGGAAAAAAAAATTGATTGTTATTGAATATAATTTTACATTCATAAAATTTAAACTCGTGTGAATTGTTGGATCGTAATACTAATTAAATACGGTGGATTAAGTTATGAACTTACATTACTAGATACGCGATTTTTGGTGATTTTATAGGTTGTTTTACAGTTTTAAATATTTATAGAGACGTACTTATCAGCTGCAACTATACTACTAATTTTACTGTTAAAAAATAATTTTATCAGTAAGTATTGCCACTGGGTAACTCCTTTATTTCATACATGTCCTAATAATTTACATATTATCTATCAAACATGCAAATATTGCAATAGATTCATAATTCATGGTCTCATGTATTGTACGTTATATAATAAATGTTAAAAAAAAAAATTAATTAAAACTGTTGTTTAAATCATAAATAATTGAAATGTGAACATTTTTATTTACAATTGACGACATTAGCACTACAATGTATGATATTTTTTTTTATTCTTTATACTACCACTAACTAATAAAAAATACTAAAAAATATAAAATGTCTTAATTATTTTTAATACTGATATCCAAATGATTGATACAAAACTATGCATTGGACAACAACATGTCGTACAAAATAATAAATGATAAATTAAAATAACAAAAAGCTTTCCTAGGATAAAGTTGATAAAGTGATGCTTTGTCATAATATATTTTGTTTGATATTGTGCCGATTTTCCCGTTTTTTCTACATTTTTATTACATTTTTCCTGGTTTTCGCATTTATTAGAAAAACTCATGAGAAAAATCAAAAAATGACCTTCTTAAAGTACCTTTTCACATCAATTTTTCTTTCAAAAAATGTGCTACATTTAAAAATCGGAGCAAGATTTCTGGTAAAAAAGTTGTGCACAGAAAAAAAAAGTTAAATAAACATCTTTGAAAAAACCATAAGCTTCTTTGCTCCGTTCAAAATCTAAAACTATACACATAATAGGCGATTAGGGGTTAAATGATTTTAATAGGTATGATATTTGTTAAATTATCTTATCACATTTTTTAATATAATTGCGTGCTTTAAGTAATTTTAATATACGTGCATTAAAGCATTAAATAAAGTGTGAACGTTTTCGCGAAACCTTTTTCATTATTATAATTAAATGTTTGTAGATATTATAATTATGAAAAAAACAATTTACAATTTATCAAGTTATGTTTTAATAAGCATGACCAAATGTTCATAAAAAAAAACCAAATACAATGAAAAAAATGGTCGAGTTATCAGCAGAGATATTATTTTTGTCCGAAAAAAATGTATTTTGAAATACTATGCGTCGGTGTTTTTTTTATTGGCCAGCAATTAATATATATATATATATACGGAGGCGCATAAAACATTGGAAAATATTTTATCAGAACCGTATTTTTTCGAAAAAATATTTTATAGGAACCTTATTTTATTGGAAACGTATTTTGTCGGAACCGTTTTTTTTCGGGAAATATGTTGTCGGAAAATAATTTTTAACCAATGACGATAACATGCAATCACGGAGTGTTAATGATGAAATTATATTGAACCACTGGTGTATTTGAGAGGGGGACGATGGGTGTATTGCTCCCCTTGGAATTTTTTGGCCGTGGTTTTTCAATCACGAGTATAGGCTATGTATAGGCTATAATATAGTATTTATAACCGTGTTATTTATTATTTCTTGGATATTTTTAGCAGCGTTACCAAAAAGTAGTGATAATGATATAACTAGGGCAATTTTTTATTGTCTATAACACAAATAGGGATATGGATGTGGATGTACAAACAGTAGTCATCAAAGATTGGTTTTTAAGAGAAAAAAAAATTAATATTGGTTTAAAATTGTTGTGAATATTTTTGTGTATGATTGTTCTATATAAATATATAATATATACATATAATGTATATTATGTTACGGCCGTTACGGATAAACGCCGAAATTGTGCAAGTTTCAGAATTGCCCAGGCAAAACGCAAAATGTCCACGATACTTTGGCAAAACGTCATATTTCGGTTTTTTTCCAGATAAATCTATATAGTATAGTGATCAACATCATTTGGGCATAACTGTAACCACCATAAATTTCAATTTTTCACATTTTTGAGATTTGGCCGATTTTAGCTTTTGATCGTAACATTATACATACATTTTTTTTTGGATATGATTAATTAGTTTATACCTATATATTTTTTTGGTTTGTGAGAGAAATTAAGAGAGGAATTATACAAAAAATTCTAACTGTTGCTTTTTTTAGAACGAGGATACCCTTCGCGATATTTTTTGGTGTATTACAATTTTTAAACTGTCTCCTCCTTGATATAGCTCCAGATACGCCATTATATTGAACGGTTCCGATATAATATTTTCCGTCAAATTATTTTTTGGAAAAAAACTTTTCGATCTAATATTTGAGGATGGATACTTTCCCTTTTGGCTATAGTACTTGTACATGGTATTATATTTAATATTAAACAACGATGTGTATTTATCAGTTTCAAAATTAATCGATGCTCTAAAAAAAATATAGCCAGATCGGCTATTTATCGTCTATTGACTGCCAGTATTTAATCAATTCATTGTAAGTAATGAGACTAACATGTACCAAAAAATAGTAAATACAGCGTTAAATTAAGGTATACACTTCAGAGATCGTGATTTACTCCTAAAAATTGGTTCGCTGCCTCCCCCCCCCCGTAAAATGTGGTTTTTATTAAAACACGGAAGTTAAATAATATTTTTAAAAAAACGGATATTCTTCACACGATGGGTGCAGTTACTATTGTTGGTGAGAAGTCGGAAAGGTAAGATATAGAGGGGAAATTCATTTGTATCTGTAAGCATCTATAAATCATTGCTTACTAAAAACGAATCTGAAAGGAGTTCAGTTGATAGTGATGTTTTTTCAACAATATATGTGTCATATTATGGTAAAATAATTAAATAGGCATTAAATATTTTCTTTAGTTATGTTTGATTAATATTGCACCAATTTTCCCGTTTTCTCGGTCTTTCACATTATTAGAAGAGTTAAACATTTAAGTCGGTCAATAGAGTATTTGCCATAGGTTTACTTATTCACAGGGAAGATAATATTCTTTGGTGAAAACTAACTCATAAAAAAAAAAAAAATTCCTAAGAGGGAATTTTATTAAAATATATGTTTGCTATTTGGGACACTATTTTAGCTTAGAATAAACAAACTCGAAAACAAAGATTAGAAATTATTAATTATTTGTAAATAATTAAAAATGTCTTACTAAATAATGGCGTTAGTTTGGTTTTAAAATTCTAAAGTGTAGGTGCCAGGATGACGTATCTGTACATCGGAGTAAGCTTTCTGGTAGAAAAAATGTTCAAATAAAAAAAAAAAAATACAAATAATTAACATCTTCGTAAAACCAATACATTCCTCGCTCCACTCAGAATCTAAAAAACAATTTTATCAATAAAATGAACTACAACCAATTGCTAATTACTATACTCCTACACTTCAAACAAATTACTTAAATTAAAAATTGTATACTATTATCAGATTTTGAATACAGTTATAGCAAATAAATTATAAATATCTAGCAGGAAAATACTATTGTTTTTGGGGTAATCATTTAAACGACTGATTATCATATATTGTTATTACCCCCCATTAAATAAATTTCCTCCCCTTTAAAAGATATCTGAATTTAACACCAAATACAAAGATTCATATTCGTTTAGTCCATCCCTACTTTGTCCGATCAGTTATTGTCATTATTTTTCAACTTGCAATAATTTTTTTTTTATGGCAATATGGACAAGCATAGTTCGGGGTGCTGATTTCACATCACACCATTTATTTTCGAATTATTATCAATATTTTGCAACTTATTTGTAACAATTCGCAACTATTTTTTTTACGGTGGCAGAAAAATTAAGAGTACTCTGTTCATTTCTATAGATAAGAACACAATATCTTCGGGGATTACATACCTAACAGTCGTATTAATATTTTTCAAAATAATCCTACATTTTATGATCACATGTATAAAATCTATTGTCGGTGTTCAATACTTTTTAGCCGCGGAAGTTTTAATATTTTACGACTAATAATAATTATTAAATTATAACAATACAACAATACAAAAATAGACAAGCATAGTTAACTCGTATACGAGGAATGTATGGAATTTCTATGAAGTATTTTTGTATTTGATTTAATATTATGTGTTTGTATTAATTGTTTTATATTGTTATTTGTTGTGACTGTGGATAAATTTTTTCCAGAAATCTTTTTCTTTGAGAAATTGAAAAGAATTGATACTGCAGGGGGCGGGTGCGGCCACTGTTGTAAGCGGGTAGCTGAGAATGTGGGATAGGTTATTTATTATACCTGCAGTATAACCAAC